ATACATATAACAGTAGGAAGAAAAAGATAAATTGAATACACAAAGCATATTGAAATCAAAGCACAATGATAAACAAGTAAAACTAACAATATGAAATAATTTACGATAAAAAAACAAAAACCTGATCTTTCATGTTGCCTTGCTTTGTAAAAATGCAAATAGCTATGCAAAATGTTTACATATTTAATAAAGTGAGAGAAAAATAGAGTATAAAATCAAATACGACGACAAATATATGTAGTAAAGGTGAGACCATATTAAAGGTAAATAATGATACAATATAAGAAGTTAAAATGACCTTTGTATTAAAAAAAAAAAAAAAAACAGGAAGTGAGACACCGCTCATATTATATTGTAAAAAGGCAAGAAAGGTCAGATTTTACAATGTTCAGCAAGATACAGGATTTATGATAAAAATGACAGAGAACCTATAATTCTCCCAGATCCAATTTAGTGGATACAAATTTAAAACGAGTTTAAGAAAATTTAAAAACATGTTACTTCTTTGATATCATCCGTTTAAATACATTGAGAGTTAAACAAAGTCGGGCTTCTACTGTAAGTTTGTTCCACACTTTAACGCCATAATTCACGAAAGTGTTAGCATAAAATTCAGTATTGCACTTAAAAGGTTTCAACAGATTCTTATTACTATTTCGAGTTGTGCGTTGCATAACATCATCTAATAATACAAATTTATCCGACATAGCTGGAGGTGCTAAATTATTAATACATTTAAAAACCAGACAACAAGTGGCCTTATCGAACAATTCATTAAGAGTCGGCCATTTTAGGCCATCCAAGACCTGTCGCGACGGAATGTGCCAAGACTGTCTAGAAATAATATAAGCTGCTCTTTTATGAAGTTTATTTAGCATATCGACATTGTATTTAAATCGACTAGACCATACAGTGCAGCAATAAAGAGCATGCGGTAATACATAGCCCCAGTACAATTGTTTTAGTTGATATTGCGTTAAAGATTCACGGAGCCTGCGTACAATTCCCAGTTTCTGTTTGATTAAGAGGGAGATATTTTCAACATGTTTACTAAACGTGAGATTTACGTCAATAGTAACACCTAGACATTTATAGGCTGAGACACACTCCAGTCGCTTACCGTTTACATCTACCTTTAAGGTCGCATCATCAAAAGTACTAATCCTTTGGTGTGAACCCACCAACATGACTTTAGTCTTGTCTGTGTTTAAAATCACTTTGTTCATCAATGTCCATTCATGGAGTTTACACATTGTGTGATTCAGTTTATTTTGAATCTCTTGGATAGATGTTCCACTTACAGACAGTGTTGCATCGTCTGCATACATATACACACTACATGAACTTAGATACTGGGGTAGATCATTAATCAGAATAATAAATAGAAGCGGCCCTAATACCGAGCCTTGAGGCACGCCTGACCGAACATCCCTCTCAACCGAGGATTTATCTTGGATGGTAACAAATTGCTTTCGATTGACTAAATAGGAGTGGAACCAACGTATGCTCTGTTCAGAACAACCATATTGAGTAAGTTTATGTAGCAGAATTGAGTGATTTACCGTCTCGAAAGCTTTTCTAAAATCAATAAAAGCAAGACCATTAACATTTCCTTTATCTACATTGCTGGCCCAATGATCGATCATGCATAACAATGCCGTTTCACAAGAATGTCCAGGACGAAACCCGAATTGGTTTCCACAAAGTTTATTATTCTGTAATAAATACTGGTACAGATGCTTGTGAACAGCCCTTTCTAGTACCTTTGATACTACAGAGAGTAGAGATATCGGTCTATAATTCTCAACTTTACTTTTGATCCCAGACTTATGGATGGGCTGGATTCGAGCTAATTTCCAGGATTCGGGCACGGACTGAGTTGATAAAGATAAATTAAATATGTAAGTTAGGCTTTCAATCAAAACCGGGACCTCACATATAAGTTTAAGTAGTTTAGTTGGCATACCGTCAGGACCTGTTGCTTTCTTAGACGACATTTTAGATAACTCATTAAAGACAAACTTAGACGTAATATATGGGAGATGAAATTGATCATCGCCATCAGGTTCTGCATTTGAATCATTATACAAATTTTGACTCTCATTTCTTCTTACTTCTCCAATGCCTTCTATACCATCTACATCATTAGTAGTCAAATTTGTGATGGATTCGATAAAATAATCATTCAAGCAATTTGCTACATTTAGTGGATTTGAAACAGTGTCACCATTAATTTCTAGACTGATTTCATTTCTCGGCCTTGCTTTGGTAATGACCTTTAAGGTGCTCCAAAGTGCATTTGTATTACCAAATTTATTTTGCAATAATCTATTTATATGCTCAAACCTTGCCAATCGTATGTTTTGAGTAATAATATTTTTGACTTGTTTATATTTGTTCCACATAGAATTACTCCCACTTCGTATAGCTTGTCTATAGTACGAATCACGTCTTTTCATTAGTTTGATAATGTCACCTGTAACCCAGGGACAAGGGTTAGATCTCATACGTTTCTGCTTTTGGGGGGCATGCACATTAACAGCTGCCATAAACATAACATACCACTTGTTCCAGGCCTCCGTTGCATCAGTCATGGACAAAATGGTTTGAAATGGCATTTTAAACAACGAACTGAGGAAATCATCTTTGTTAAACTTAGTATAACTACGATATTTTATCACATTCATTCTATTTTAGTATGTTTATAACTGCCAATCACTGTATATACCATAAAGTGGTCACTGAGATGGGTTTTTATAATACCACATTTAATATGTTCTTCCGGACAGCTAGTGTAAATATGATCTATCAAAGTTTGCGTGACCAAAGTAATACGTGTTGGTGACTTAATCATTTGGTGCATGAGAAATCCTGTCATAGCTGACTTTAATCTTTGAGTAGATGAATCACAATTCGAAGAGAGTAGATCACAATTAAAATCGCCAAGTATAATGATTTCTTCACTTCGATTGATTGCGTTATTCAACATGTCATCAAGCCTGTCAAAAAATTCAGGAGATGAATTTGGCGGCCTATACAAAGTACACAATAAAACTGGTTTAGTAAGGAAATTGCATTTCATCCGTATCCATAAACATTCAATATCTGTCTCCAAATCTAAACATTGAGAATAGTGAATATTATTTTTAATGTATATTACCACTCCACCACCATGTCTTGTACGGTCTTTGCGTATCATATCAAAGCCATCGATATGAATGTCGTTGTCCAATATCGTCATGTCACAGTGGGACTCTGATATCGTAATAATATCAAAGGGACATTTCTTTACCATGAATCTCAATTGATCTATTTGATCTATTTGTTAAAGCAAGCCCAACTCTGAATACATTTAAAAAGAGATACAAACAATTACGTTTTTGTGAATAGTATTTTATTAGTTTTTATATATTTGCAATCAGGTGTTAATTGTTAGGTGTTAGTTGTTAGGTGTTATGTGTAAGGTGTTAAGTGTTATAGGTTAAAATTCTTTATTATGTCGCAATGGACTAGCACCACACAAGACTTATTGTTCTTTCTTGCTGGTTTCTCATTTGTATTATGTTTGTATTTTATGTTTATGTTTCGTTATGTTATTTGTATGTTCTTTACTTATCTGTAAATATCAATGTTATAATCATGTATGTTTTTATATGACGAATGAAATAAAATGAAATGAAAATGAAATGAAATATCGCGATCGAAAAATTCGATGTCGGATTGGCGTGGCGCTGCAACTAAAAAAGTCATAAAAACGAGACCTTACTTCGCGCCCATTTATACAGCCGATTTATAAAAAATGCGATCCATCAAAAATAAGGTAATTTCCTAATCTGCAAGGCAAGATATTATCAGTTTTTCCACCTCTTTTTTACAATTTAGAGGAAATCTGCTCTCAAAATGATTTCTTGACCGTTATCAGTAAATGAATAATTTTTCAGAACGGACGCAAAACGACTGCAAAATCTGCCGATCTTTTGTCAATATTTTCATAATTTCACACCCGATTCCAGAGAAAAATCCGTGTCTGGGTAATAATAATTATGTTCCTCTTTCAATAGGTGAAGTCAGATTTTCGAAATCTTACCAATTCTTTGAACTTAAGTCACGCGCGATTTATTATATGGTCTCACACCACCATACTTTAATGAATTTAAAGTTTTACCGCTGTTGATTTATTTTACAATTTCAATCTATAATCAGTGATAAGCCTAAATGAAGATGACAAGCGATGCCAACATCGTCGCTGTTTTCACGAAGTGACGGTAGTGAAAAAAAATTGCATTCACTTTGCATTACGATTTTCCTCACTACCGCCACTTCGTGAAAAATCTTGTCAATGTATCATATACCACCCCTTATCTCTCCCTTATCATCCCTTTCTCTCTCATACCTTTTCTCTCACCCCCCCCCTCTCTCTCTCTCTCTCTCTCCCTCTCTCTCTCTCTCTCCCTCTCTCTCTCTCTCTTCCCTTTTCACTCTTCTTCCCTTGTCACTTAAGACCGTTCTTTTCGTCTACCCTACCATTCAAACAGTTCACGTTTCTCTCTCTCTCCCTCTCTCTCTCTCTCTCTCTCCACCCTCTTACTCATGCTTTTTTTTAAATCTTTTTATTTTTTTATTTGTAAATAATTTATTATGTAGTGACATTCAACAGTATCAAGCAAGAAGTATACAATATTATGGTTAATATTATGCTGTGTTTTAATGCAGAGCACTGTGAAAAGCCAGTATGAATTTCATAATTTGATAAATTTCTGAAATTGAAGCGGCTACTAAAATGAAAGATGTAAAATGAATGAACAAATATTAAATAGATTAACAACAACGAGACTCTATACTATACTGCGCGTGATTTACAAAATATGACGTAACAACTGCGTATACACTTTGCATCATGGAGCGCGCCAAGGCCCTTGGTAACAAAAATAAGAAAAGCGCGTAAAAGGCTTGCGCTAAACAATGGTTTCAAAGCTAAATAATTTTCTTATTGTTTTTTTGAACCCACTGTCTGTGGTATTATAAGGGGGAAGCTCAGGGCTGCTGAATGATAAATCAACAGTAGGCAAGTCAGTTAAATGTGGTAAGTAGAATTCTATTCTTGTAATATATTGGGATGATAGAAAAATATATTATTATCTATTGTGAGAAGAATTTCACTTTGAAATTGATGTTATCATAAAGGCGTGTGATTGGGTTTCATCCACATGTTGTGTGTATGGTGGTGTGACCAAAGTTCGCGCGTGACCTAAGTTCGCTATCTCAAAAAATCAGTAAGATTACGAAAATCTGATATCAACAATGGAAAGAGGAACATAAAATTACCCAGAAGTAAAATTTTCTTTGGAATTGGATACGAAATTGTGAAAATATTGACAAAAGATCGGCAAATTTTGCAATATTTTGTGTCCGTTCCGAAAAATGATCAACTTACCGATAAGGGTCTGAAAATCTTCAATTTGAGAGCAGATTTCCTCAAAATTGTAAGTCAACAGTGGTACTTACTGATTGTATGATATCTTGCCTTGCAAATTATGATATTACCTGATTTTTGATGGATCACACTTTTTGATAAATCAACTGTAAACCCCCGTGATTAGGATTTTTTCAAGGGGGGTTTTTAAAATATTTTGCTCCCGAAAATTTGAAAATCGCGCCGGCCGAAAAGTCGCTCAGTGGGGGGGGGGGGGGGGGGGGGGGGGGGGGGGGGGGGGGGGGGGGGGGGGGGGGGGGGGGGGGGGGGGGGGGTAAGCGGACACTTTTATTTTTTGGTTAAAAATTTCAAAATTTGACATTTTTTTTCGTTGGGGGGGGGGGTAAGGTCACCTTATTTAGGTTAGCCGTGGGTATAATTTTTTTTTTTTTTTTTATAATAAAAAAAAAAAAAAAAAAAAAAAAAAGCGAAAGGGGGGGGGTTTTTCGGTTTTTTTAGGGTGGGTTTACATACATTAAAATTCCAAAGGGGGGGGGGGGTTTGAACCCCCAAACCCCCCCCCCCCCCTGCGTACGCCCCTGACTAGATCTAGATCTAGATCTAGAGTAGAAGTAGAACGAGGCTTTAATTTTGTTAAGTGTCCAGACACACAACCCCCATCATCATGGTCTGACTTGGAATTATCAATTTTTTGTCTTTTATGTTGTCAGGAATCTTCTTTTTATTATTTTTCAAAGCCACTAGAGGTCTAGATCTAAGAGTAAGAGTAAGATCTAGATTTAGATTTTATGTGTCCGGACAGGTTGTGTACCCGGACATTTAAAGAAATTTACAAGCAATAGGAATTAGATCTAGATCTAGTCTATGTTTGGATGTTTTGCACAATATTATTATAGATCTAGATCTAGATCTAGATCTAAAGGACAAATATTCATAACGGTTGTTGCTAGATCTGATCCGAAGGAAAAAGAGAAGGCTTTGTTACTATTTTATTATAGATTAGTCTAAGTACACAGACGGATCCGACAGGGGAATGGTGTTCACTAATTTTTCAATGCGGATTCCGAATTAAAATTGAATGCTATATAAACGTTGCCACCAACTGATTTATCTTTTACTGTCACCGTGAACTATAGTTGTTCACAATTTTCGCTTAAAGCGACAACATAAAAACAACAAAATATGACAATTTCAAGTAAGACCATGATGATGGGGGTTGTGTGTCTGGACCCTTAACAGAATTAAAGCCTCGTTCTAGTTATGTCTTTGATGCCGCCAACAATATGCATAGGACTATAGACAGGTCGAGGGCGGCCGAGCGACTTCCAAAGTGGGGGGGGGGGGCACCAAGACAAAAGGGCACTTTCTGGAAAAAAGGGCACCTATAAAGGGAAATCTCTAAGCGAAAATATACCATTTTTAGTCATTGGTATAGGCCAGTTAGGCCTATACCCCTACATTGTGTTTACAATATTATTATCAGGGATTTCAATATTTGTTTCACTTTATACACCATACAAGATATTGCTTAAGCACCATGCTTTGTAGTTGGGTTTGATTGTCTAAGATGTGTGAGGTCGCACTGCGAAAAATTATATCTTATAAAGAGGAAAAAGCCCAATCCTAATGGGGTTATAAGCACATTCTCATAACGGAAGACTGAAAAACCTTCGATAAGTAACATAAGTATAAATATAGATGCGTGCGAGCGTAGTCGCTTGAATTAGCTAGGGTGCGTTTAATGATGAAAGGAAAAGGGGACACTTATCAGGAAAGAAAAGAAGCATGTGCCAAAGTACAAAGAGTAATTATCAGAGGTGAAAATGGGCACTTCTTACACCCTCAAAAAGAGGCACTCACCAGGGATGAAAAAGTCAGTCATGAGAATAGGGGGTTGATATTATTTATATTGTTAAAAGGGAAATTATCAGAGATGAAAAGAGGCACTTATCGCACCTGATAAGGGGCAATGACCAGATATGAAAAGGGGCACTTATGTGAATGAAAAAAGGGCACCAATCAGATTTTATAGGGGCATTTATCGGAGGTGAAGGGGGCACTTATCTGAAGTGAAAAGGAGTAACTTCTCGTACCTGAAAAGGTTCATTTACCTGAGAAGGGGCACTTATCATTAGAAAAAGGGGAACTTATTAGAAAGGAAAAAAGGCAAATGTGAAAGTATAAGGTGCGCTTATCCGAGTTAAAATGGGGGTAGTTATTAAAAAGGCAAAGGGGCACTTCTTACAAAGGAAAAGGGGCACTGGTCAAAGTAAAAGAGGCACGTACCTCTCAGATTTAAATAGGACAATTATCAGAGGTGAAGGGGGCACTTATCAAAAGTGAAAAAGGCACTTCTCGTACCTAACTAGGGGCACTTACACGAGAGATTAAAAAGGGCACTTATGAGAATGGAAAATGGACACTTATTGTAAAGGGAAATGAGAATGTGTCGAAGGAAAAGCGGCACGTGTCGAAATAAAAGGGGCCCTTATTAGAGTTGAAAATGGGAAGGGACACTTTTAAAAATTAATAGGGGCACTTTTCAAAGTAAAAGGGACACTATTCCTATGTGAAAAAGGGGCACTTTTCCTATGTAAAAAGGGGCACTTTTGGGGTGATTGAAAAACTGGGGGGCACTGTGCCCCCTGTCTCCCCCAACCCCACCCCGGAGGGGCGCCTCTGTCTATAGATCTAAGTAATTGCTCAACAACAAGGTAGGTAAACCATGCAAGGTAAAGCCAAGGACAAGTTTTGAATGCTAAATCAACGTCACTTTGGTGATTGAGGATCTTCTTTGTATACAGCCTAAAGTATATACAGGCCATTTTAAACTTGTGAGAGCTTATTCGCTCTATCAAAGCCTATATCTATAGCGTGAGATCATAGTTCATGCTACCTTGATTTTATTCACCTCCTCAAAAGGTAGGCCACATTTCGAAAATCTGATCACTAATGGAAAGAACTAAAGAAAAATATTGACAAAAGATCAGCAAATTTTGCAGTCATTTGCGTCCGTTCCGAAAAAGTACTGACAAGGTTGTGGAAAACTTCATAGTGAGCGCAGTTGTCATCAAAATTGTGAGTAAAAAGTGATACCAATAATATTGTAGATCTATGGTATTTTGCCTTGCAAATTATGCAATTACCTTAATATGTTGATGAATCACATTTGTTGATAAAATTGGCTGTAAACCCCCTTGCGCGGAGTAAGGTTTTGTTGTTTATATGACTTTTTCGTGAGTTGTAGCGCGCACGCCGATCCGACATCGAATTTTTAGAACGCGATATATCAGGAATCATTTGACGATCAATTTTCTCGTTGCACCAATTTGTAGTAAAACACTTCAACGTCAATATGAAAGTAATTGAAATAGATAAATCTATGTAGAATATGACAAATCATGGATCGAATATCATTTGTTTCTTATATGTTAAAAAAATCTCCGCGAACTTTGATCACCCCGTCATACAGCACTGAGTATCCTGAGTATCATTTTGTCCATTTTCTATCGATTTCACAAGCAAAGTTTCAGACAAGGAATGGTTTATAGTTATGTGTGTATGTTTGATTACAATGAGAAGGCATTATAATGAGCACACAATCATGACCCAGGTAGGCCTACGTGTACCTGCACGTAGGGCTGCAGGATATTTCTGCAAGAAGGTTGCGTATTTGCCAGGTATAATATATATTAGGTTCATTTGTAAAAAAATATTGAACATAATATCACCAACTGTTGCAATAGATGTTTTCTCTACAGTTTTGTTAGACAATAAGCTTACAAAAGACTGCAATAGCTGAAAATTATGGTTGAAAATAGTATTTTTAAGAGTACAGGGTTTATCATGCAGTTTATTACGGTCGTTTATGAGGGATTTGTTCAACAATTTACTGAGAGAGAGAGATTGCTGGTATTTGATTGCATCTTTCATTTAAATGGCATGCAGTTTCACAACTCAATTGAACATGAATGATTTAATTTCAAACAAATAGGCTATCAGTAACTTCCTGCATTTGAGATTTTCGGACAAGTTTGCGGCACTCAATCATATTCAAAAGTGTGTATGTAAATATTTATTTTAAAGTCATTAATCGTAACTAAAAATAATCAAGGACCCAGTTTCGTCATCTAAGGGACACCATCATTAATGGTACATGAATCAGACAGAACAGCATGGTAACGAACATGACGCATGAAAACCTAGGTTTGTCGACAAACCTCCTTTTGAATTCGGGCCATTGCGTACGACAGGAAAGGAAGTCACACATCCAAGTTATTGCTGAGGATTGGTTCTGTTTTGATAAAACTTACTCATAACTACAATGTGGTCAATTCTATCAAAAGCTTTCTTAAAGTCAGTTAGAAGAATTGTTGACGACGTTTTAGGGATTTCAGTATTTTATACAAAATGATGAAGAATATTAGTTGAACAATTATGTTGATAGGCATTTTCTATTTCCAAATTATGGAAACTGGTCAATTTGTTGTCCAATGTCTTGCAATATCCATTTTGCAATGAAAACTTCAATAATTCTTTAGCAAAATGTTCGGTCAAAGATATTGGTCTTAATTTATACAATTTAATTATCATATATCACCTTTCTAGCCACTAGCGTTATGATTATATGGAAGGGGTCGCAGCTATTAATTTCAGTTCCTCGTCTTGAAGCAATCACTTAGATAAGCACATTTATTACAAATTATAGATCTCATTAACCGTTCAATAAAGGTATTTCTCTAACTGTGTTGTAATGTATCTTGAGTCACGAGTTCCACATTTCATTTTCAGTATTTTTCAATTATTGTTCTATCTACCTGGAACAAAGAATAAGGACAAAAAGACAACTAGTTTTGCTATATGTGTAAATGTCTAACATATTATTGAAAATTGTGAGTTTGAGCGTATACCTCATTAACGTAAAGAAAGCGTGGCACTCATCAGGAAATGTCTCCACCCCAACCCCCCCCTCCCCCCACTCCGGGGTCCCCACTCATGGTTCATGTGACACCAGCGTCTCTAGCAGCACATAATGAGATCTTGGAGTTGTGCTCGATTGTAACTTAAAATGTTAACTCCATCTGTCGGAATGCATCTCTATCTCTCTACAAAATTGGAAAGATAAGAAATCTCTTCGACAATCATACAACTGAAATCCTTGTCAACTCCTTGCTCACCTCGATTTTTTGATTTTGTTTGTTTTGTTTGTTTTTGTTGTTGATTTAAAAAAAAAAAAATCCTCTCCACATCAATCTCCCTAATAAAGTCATCGCCAAGCTTTACCGAATTAAAAACTCAGCTGCCAGACTAGTTTCTAAATTACCAAGACAAGAGTATCACTCCCGCTCTACAGAAAATCCGCTGGCTGCCCGTATCCCAGAGAATCCAGTACAAAGTCATCCTTCTTTCAAGGCAATTCATCAACTCTGTCCCAGTTACATATCTGAACGAACGACAGGAAAAAGTCATATGGATCCAAAGATTCTCATCTGCAGCTTCGCGTCTTTGGAACTCCCTCCCACTAGCTTCCGAACCATCACAGAATTAACTTTCATCAAATCACAACTGAAATCTTGTTAAAAAACGCTTTCTTATGTCATTACTGCAGTATTGTATTTTACCAAAATCAAAATATATGCATTATTGTACTGTACTTTGTCATAATTTGCTTTCATTTCTCTCTTAATTGATTATGTTTAATCTTTTCCCTATTTTGATATTTCTTTAGTTCATGATTAAATAGGTAGTTATCTGCAATTTTGTTGTTTTATTATTGTAAAGCGCATTGATATTTTCTCTGAAGATGAAATGCGCTGTAGAAGTCTAGGTTATTATCATTATTATTATTAATATTAGTACCTTTAGTATAACACAATTACACATGTATGTACGAACAAATATAGCGTCTAACTATAAAGTTTTGTGCTCTTGAATCGCTTATATTTAATTTGGGCCCTTGAAATAAAATTTTGGGTACCTGAGACATAATTGGCTATCAATCATGCCCACAATGTATCATTGTATTTTTAGATTGGGGGATTGTCTAGAGATGCTGGTCCTTTAGGTCCCTTTGAGCAACGTTAGGGCCCATGCATGTGGTCTTCTGTGAATAGTGGATTTTGTACACCAAACGAAATTTTTCTGCCAAAATATTTGTTCTGAAATACATGAAACTACTGGTTTACCCCTATTATAAAAAAAATGCACTATTGGCACAGATTTTCAAAAATCAGTAGGTGGCATCGTTTGTAGCATTAAGTTTTACTACGAAATCTGCGTTTAAAAAATGGTGAACACCATTTCCCTGTGGGAGCCGTCTGTGTACCTAAATATTATGTTTGGTAGGTGTCCAGACAACCACCCCCCCCCCTTTTCAGATCAATAGCAATAAAAGACAGCATAGATTTTAAATTGAAAATGGGCACAAAAAGTCATGTAGAATTCATGTTTAATTCATTTTATGCCAACATGTAGATTCTCGATTTATCTTCCTTGGCATTGTGCTATACTCTGTTTAAAATAAAATTGAATCTATAGAGAATCTATTATAAATTATATACTCTCTTAATTTCTAGGAATTATTTTAAATCCAAGGGGACAAGTTCCCCTTGGATTTAGAATAAATTCTTTGGACTTTAAAATAAGTCCTAGAAATTAAGAGAGTAGGCATTAACATGTGATGACAGAATATTAACATCTGATGCATTATAGGCGTCTGGTGATGTTGTTATTATTTTGTTTTATTTGTTGGTAGAGCAAGAGTCCTGGATTCGACATCATCAATGGCATCCGCAGTGTGGCAGAAACTTGGACCACGTGGCCTGGCTGCCATAGCAGCTGCGGCTACCGGAATAGGCATCGGGATGACCTACCTCTCGTCACCGCAACGGGAGACCCAAGCTGCTGCTAACTGCAACTTGTGCGAAGATGGCACCTACACCCCTACCTTTGGCCAGAAGTCAAACTTCCCACCCTCGGCCAACTTCCCAGACCTTTCGAAGCACAATAACGTGATGGCTTCCCACTTGACTCCAGGCATTTATAGCCGTCTCAGCAACCTGTCCACACCCAATGGCTTCACCCTGGATGAGTGTATCCAGACAGGGGTAGATAACCCTGGGCATCCTTTCATCAAGACGGTCGGCATGGTAGCTGGGGACGAGGAGTCATATGAGGTACATTTTACACATTTTTAGAAAAATAAATCACATCTCTCTTATTCTTCTTCTTCTTCGTTTTCTTCTGCTACTTTAATTTTTCCGCCGCCTCTTTCTGTTCCTCGTTCCACTTCTACTGCCACTTCCACTTCTACTCGTACTTATGCTTCTAATTCTGCTTCTACTTGTACTTCAATGATTCTACTTCTACTTCTTCTTCTAAGATTCTACTTCTATATGTCTATTTCTATAATTCTCTACTTCTACTTTGACTTCTATATTTCTACTTCTACTTCTGCCTCTACGTGTACGCCCAAATCTTTTGATACTTTCACTTCTATCTCAATCTCTATCTCATTCTACTTCAATTTCTACTTCTATTTTGCACAACAAATGTACAAGGTATGCGCTTGGAGAGCAAAATAGTTATTCTGCATTATTTACTAATTAATGTAAAGCGCTTTGAGCATGTTTTTGTACATTGTAAGGGCGCTATATAAATATCAATATGTATGTATGTACTACTTCTATTTCTGGATTAACTTCTATATTTCTACTTCTACGATCACTTCTGCTTCTACTTCTGCTTCTATTATTCTACCTCAATAGACTTATACTTTTACGACTATAGTTCTAGATTTACTCCAATACTTCTACTTCTATAATTTTACTCACTCTACTTCTACGTCTACTTCTGCTTCTTCTTCTTCCTCTACGTATAAGTCTATTGTTACTTTTATTTCGATCTCTTTATCCGTCTATACGTCTACTTGTGCTTATAATTTTCCTTCTATACTTTTACTTCTACTTCTAAATATACTCCTACTTGTATATTTCTACTAACTCTACTTCTACTTTACTACACTGCAAATTCGTTGTGTAACGACTTTACACAACATGATGAATGGTCAATAGGAAACCCAACTGTTGTGAAAGTAATTCACTATAGTTTATAATTTGAAGATTTTTATCAAAAGTTCTATTCTTCTGTCAAAATTGAATATGCTCTCGAAATGTCATTCCGTAACGCTTGGAATAACCAATTTACTTTTTGTTTGATTATTTTTGTAAAGGTCTTCAAAGAACTGATGGACCCCGTCATCGACGAGCGACACAATGGCTACGGTCCGGACGATGTGCACACAACGGATCTGGATTCCTCCAAAATTCGCGGCGGGGTACTGGACTCCAAGTATGTCCTTTCCTCTCGAGTGAGGACAGGTCGAAGCATCCGAGGACTCAGTCTTCCACCAGCCTGCAACAGGGCTGAGAGACGCATGGTCGAACAGGTTAGCGTATTAAGTTAAGATCAGCACAATCCTCCTGAGTCGCCATAATGAAAACATTATCTTTAACAAGCTACATTTTACAAGCTACTGTAGCTTCTCAGTAGACCCCTTCACATTTACCCACTACTTTGTTATCCAAGATCTCAATCTGTTCATTATTAAAGCTCTGTATTTTTTCCTAAATCAATGTAAATATTTGTCATATTCTTAAACAAATTGTGGAAAATTAATGAATGAATAAACTATATCTCGATTCTTTTGTTTCTCCATCAGGTCGTTACTGACGCTCTTGCTGGTCTAAGAGGAGAGTTGGCTGGACAGTATTACTCGTTGGTTACCATGTCTGAGGAGGATCAACAGAAGCTGATTGATGATCATTTTCTCTTCGACAAACCAGTCTCTCCTCTTCTCACCTGTGCAGGCATGGCCAGAGATTGGCCCGACGCCCGCGGAATCTGGTTAGTTGTCCCTTTCCTTATTCTTTCCTTCTGTTTGTCAAAAATTTAAAAAAATCGTGACTGTAATCAGAATATTCCTTTGTCCTATCGATTTTATTTCACTGTATTGGCCTTGTAATATAACCGAACAGTCAGGGGATATGTCGGCTCTATCCTGAATCGTGGGCGGCCCTAGATAATTTTGTCAGGGAGGCACAGATCTCAACAAAATATCTGACAAGCCATTGAATGCAAGCAAGCAGGTAAAGAAAAGAAGAAAAAAGGGGTGCCGAAAACCGTATACATGACTGTTTAAAAATGATAACTGTATATATCGTCGAGTCGTGAAGTGTAATGCTCACAATGTTAGCTGGAACTGACAATAACAGGATAACAAATATTGGTCAGACAGGGTGAGATAAGTTTGAAAAACTCTGAGTGTTTCTTGATAGGCACAATAACAACAAGAACTTCTTGGTGTGGATCAACGAGGAGGACCATACCAGAGTCATTTCCATGGAAAAGGGTGGCAACATGAAACGAGTCTTTGACAGATTCTGCTCTGGTCTCAACCAGGTAATGAAAAAAAAACAGGGGAAACGAATTGAGAAATGTTACTAAAGTTTTATTGTAATGGTATAGCAGAATACTTTTTTTTTATCAAAAGAAGCTGTATGTTTTTTCTAAATTGCATACTGCGCTGTGTGATGATAATAGGCCTATATTCTGTGAAAAGATATAAAGAGGTTTCATGAGACCGACGACCCATTAGACAGACAGCCCACAAGACCGATAGGTCTCCCCGGGAGGTCTCCGTGGCTTTCTGGCAACTTTTCTTTTTAGAGTTCACGAGACGGTCGGGCTGTCAATCTCGTGGGCCGCCGTTTTAGAACCGTTGTTAATGTGGAATCTGGTCTCATGTGCTGTTTGTCTATCTGGATATCCCTTTTGGTTATACTTTTTTCTTTCACCTATACATTGATATTCATACTTATAGAATATAATCATTTTCAAGATATTTTATTTTTACATCGAAAAGTTGTAATAGTCTTGCTCACCCATTCAATAAGAGTCTTTCTTACTGTATTAGGTGATGTATTACCGTTTCCTATTATGTTGCGGTCTCTACCAGTACGATAATGGTTTTGATGATATCTTTAACTATTTCCATCGAATTTCATGATATGACATATTTGTTATCATTATTGACAAGTTCAAGTGATTTTAAGCTTTTAGATCGCTTTCATTATCCCCCAAACAGGTTGAGGAGTCAGTTAAAGCTAAGGGATGGGAGTTCATGTGGAATGAGCATCTAGGATACATCCTTTCTTGTCCTTCTAACCTCGGTACAGGACTCCGAGCTGGAGTACATCTCAAGATTCCTAATCTGTCAAAGGTACGCTCTCCTATAGCCGGCTACGATTCTCGCCGAAAGGCACCTGACGCAGTCACTGCCCGTTGCACAATCATGATGCGTCATGTTGCCTAACATAGGACGGTGTCAGTGATTGTATCTTGAAACTCCATGGCCCGAATTCACAAAGCAAGGTTTGAGCCCAGACCAAGGTTTGAGCTCAAACCTCCTTTTGTTTCGCCAAACCTCCTTTTGTTCTTTACAAACCAGGTTTGTAAAAAAACGCGTAAAACGCGTCATATGACGTACGAAAACCAAGGTTTGTCGACAAACCTCCTTTGTGAATTCGGGCCCATACGTCGGACAGTCATGTGGTGCAAAGTGTGATTGCACAATAAATAGTGCAAATACAAATTTCGTGTGTACTTGCTTGGCTTGACAGGCCCGATTAGCGCAGGAAGTAGCGCAATCGGAATGAATACATGAGTCGTAATTTCGATTGCAGCGGGGAATACCCCTTCCCAATGGTTATGTCTTTAATAATATAATATTAATAATAATAATCAATATATAGTCTTGTTCAGTTTGCCCATGATTTTCAATCCTTGTGTATGATTATGCATTTTTTATTTATTTTATTTATTTATTTTTTTTTTTGGGGGGGGGTTAGGGGGAAATTGCCTTTTAATCTGGTAATATCTTGGACTTGTCATTTGCTTGAAACTAATTCTCTTATTGTTTAGTTCAATTCAATTCAATTCAAAGTAACATTAATTTGTTAGCCTTTGTTCATATCAACAAAAAGTACTTAATGGATACATACTGGCATAAATAATTTTGAAGAGCATAGCGACACAAGGCAGAAGACAATCAATAAGTATTAATACGACATACAAATGGGTTATTTGGAAAGACGTATTGCTAATAAACTTTCCAATACAATTTTCTTTTTTCTTTTTTTTTCTTTTCTCTTGTGTGGTCTCTACAACTATAGGATATAAGTCGACTGGATAATATCCTAGAAAAACTCCGTCTTCAGAAGCGTGGTACTGGAGGTGTTGACTCGGCAACGGTTGGTGATACCTTTGACATCTCAAACAATGACCGCCTTGGACTATCAGAGGTATTAATAAAGCTGCTCTTTCGTACGATTCTTTAAAACCTGAAACTTTTGCGCACATAAGATCCCAAATTTTCGCGAGTGATTCAAATTTGCGAAAGATTCATGCCGCAAAAAATATATGAATCACAACTGATGAAACATTGGATTTTTTGACATTTTAACTTGAGTTTCTAGCGGTGAAAATTGCTGCTGTTTAAAAATTGTGAAAGTTTCATTTTCCAAAATCCACTGGTTCTGCAATATAAATGGAAGAATTGTAATCCTATAATCGTCTTTCTCCTAAAACAATTTTCGGAGACATGATGGTAAAATGAATAGAACAACAGCAGATCCGCGGCATTCTCTTGGTCTTGGTTCAAAACCGAGTGTCAAGTCGCGAGGCATATTTAAGAAAACCATCCGAAAGTGGTGCCCGAGATTCCTAATAAGAAGAAAAATCTGTATCCACTAATACGCAACATTTCTTTTCAAGTGCAATGGGCTCCTATTCGACCGCCATTTTGTTCCACAATGCAACAGTTCTTGTCGTAACTCTTATTATAAAGAGACTCTAACTTTTTAAGGGCTGTTCCCCCCCCCCCCCCCCCCCCTCCGTGAACGGAGGGATACCATGCGTGTTCCTAAACTCTCCGGCTCGTAACAGAAGAAAAAGGTCGATCCGTATTGACTCTACACACCGGACTTTTGCTGAAAAGGGGGGGGGGGGGGGGTGCTGAAAAAGGCTCGAGTATAACAAAAGAAAAAGGTCGACCCGTATTGACTTTACACACCGGGTCGCTTGGAACACGCATATACGTACCCTAAATAACACTGAGTGGGATGTGGGCGGGGGGCTGTTTGACGAAAATTCTCCAAGTTCTCAGTTTTTCATATTTGTCAAGATGGATCAAAAACTTTTTAAATTGTCTGAGAACTACTCATTTTCACAAAGAACCTTTCAATGCCCCATGAACGACATCCCTGCGCGAACATGCAATGTGATGTCAATATATTCATGTGAATTCGTTGAATATTTTCTTATCAACAGGTAAATCCATACAGGTAAATCCATTTTTTGTTTTTAGGTTTGAAAACTATTGTTTTCTTCAATAATATTGTCCCCGTAAAAAATAATGTCGATTGGTACAGTACTAGCCTTATTTAGATGACATTAACTCGCGTGATCCCCCTTTCTCTATGACTATGCGACGGAAAGATCCTTCACAGTAAATAATGATCATCAAAAGCCAGATAAATCTTAGTTTTTTTTCTAATAAAGATTAAAACATTATGTTCATAGTGATTAGGATTCTTAATTCTATTAGCGATGCAACATGTTAAAATGAGAAGCTCAGTGTATGTAGTTTTTCCTGTCTTATAAGTCGACATCAATGCAGAATACACTGAAACTGTTCAGGAGATCGACTGTCAAAATAGTCGGAGCATTAAGTTTGTTTTAATGTTGCCATATTGCCATGATTTGGTCTTTAATCTCTCTCTCTCTCTCTCTCTCTCTCTCGCTTTCTCTCTCTTTTTCCAGGTCACACTTGTTCAGCGTGTCATTGATGGAGTGGATCTTCTTATTAAGATGGAAAAACACTTGGAGAAGAACCGTTCAATCGAGCATCTGATACCAAAATAAATAAATTAGTTTGCTCCATCACTCAACATACATTGTAATATAAAACACCAATAATCAGGAAAATTGATACTTGTACATAGAAACTGCTGCAAAGATATATATTCATGCAAACATAAAATTGCGCAGCTTTGTCCAAATAAATATTACATCTTATACATTATGAGCACCTTTTGATAATACACTGAAGTTGTTTATTTATCTAACTATTTATATTTATAATGAAGAAATGTACTGGTATTCGAGGTAATGAAACTTTATTTTCATTTCAAATCAATAAAGTATCTTTAAATACAATATTACGACAGAAAGATCTAAAGTGTATTAACATGGGACTCAGTGGAAACCGAAACGGCGAAACCATGTCATCTGTAGTAAGCTCTATGTAAAAATAGAAAATATATCCATTCTATAAGAAACCAAGTGCTGCACATAGAACTATATATTTATTTTGTGTAGAATTATGAGTTGCGAAGATTTTTCCAGGGATATGAATATTATCATGAAGAAATATAATCTGAATGAAGCATATCATGTTTTAAAAGTAACAGTATGAATGTAATGGAACTTAATGCACTGAAATGATGATAATGGTTGTCAATTTATTGGTAACTTCTCTCTGAAATAAAACTATATATAGAATAAACTCAAAGAGAAATTTCAATTGTTTGTTTACCTTTATGCGTATCAGTGAATAAGATAATCTGTCTAGAAATGAAGGGTTGCTTTTTATATGTATTAAAGGTGATAACGACGAGACTAGTGATTTATCATTGAAATTCAAAATGGTGTTTGTGAAGAAATTTTGTAAATAAGAGATGGGCAAAAAGGGAAACATACAAGTTTGTTGGGCAAAATAATGTAACCCATGCAACGACTGGTTAAATTTACCCACTTTGGGCTACATTTTACTAAATCACCTATTACACAAAATGCAAAATTGACCTAGCTCTGTTTAGGGGTGAAACCTTTTTTTTTTAAATTCGAATTTATTACCAAATCTCTAACATGTACATTATAGTCTGCAAAATTGTGAGTTCCAAATTTTGTTTCCTTCATTTTGCTCCCCGAATTTAAAAAAAGTGCCTATCAATATTTCGAGGGGGGGGGGGGGGTAGAAAGCACTACAAAAAAAAATCAATTGGCCCCCGACATTTAAAGGGATAGTTGAGTTCTGTTTTCAGATGCCTTCAAGGTGCATGGTTATTGCTCTTATTCTTATCTATGGCATTTATAGTGCCCTTTTAGAACCTAAAATTGCTATGGAGGTAATTTTAGACCCCAAGATGTGTGAAATTTAGCCAATACGATCATACCAATTCAGGTCCACTTTCCAAAAAACACGGTGACCGTTAATTAAATATTTAATTAAAAATAACAATACATGAACCGGCTAATTGTAGGTAATATAAGCAACACGAAAATGCCAACAAAAAAGCCAACATCGGCATTGGCTGAAATACGACGTAAAAGGCGTTATTTCGTTTTTTTAACGGTTTTTTTCAAATTTTTCAAAATATCTTATATTTGTGGTGGTACAGAAGTATTAGAAATCGTTATATTTCAGCCGTCTCTGAACCGATTTTGATCAAACAAAGATGATTTCGTCATTTAAATATTATGTTCTTTCAAATTTGACACTCAGTTTTTCATTATCTCACAAAAAAAAATATTTTGTGTAGCGCCCTCTGCAACAGAACTCAACTATCCCTTAAAAAAAAAAAAAAAAAAAAAAAAAAAAAGACCAGCCCTAAGAGGGGGGGGGGGTAAACCCCCTAACCCTCCCCCCTAGATCTGCCCTAGAGATATAGACTCGATTCATAAATTAGATTTAATTCTGGAGAGCTGTAGGGAAAAAATCTGACTTAAGATTAATAAAAATAAAACATTTATTTTTACTCTAGAGTCACATGTTGGCTCGGCAACTTTTTATCCTTTTGGAAAGGAAGTTGGCATTGTAAAAATATTAGGTATATGTTTTTCATTAAATCCTGACGTTACTGAAATGATGAATTATAAAGAGATATTGAGCAAAATTAAGAAATTATTAAATATTGGTGGAAATAAAGAGATCTCACTCCGATTGGAAAAATCACTTGCTAAAAACATACGCATATTCAAAATTGATTTATGTTTATATAGGCCTAGCTCTTTGATTCCGGTGCCTGAATGGGTTTTCAAAGAAGTTGATGACATCTGTTTTTAATTTTTATGGCGAGGGAAGGACAAGATATAACAAAGAGGACTTTGTATCTTCAATACAAACAAGGATGATTGAAAATACTTAATTTTAGACTTGTTTTATGAAGGTACAAAGGGTGATGTTGATCAAAAGACTTGGAATTGGAGAACAGAAAGTGAAATGGAAGAAAGTACTTCAAATTTCTACTGAGTACTGAGACCAATAATTGTAGGAAATTTAATTTTTTCTATACTTATTTAACATGATCAAGATACAGTTACCAAAATACTACGTACCAGGAAATGATAAATATTTGGTTTGATATGATTGTGTTTATTAAAAAGGATCCAGTTATAATAAACGAAATTAAATTTTCTTCAAACATAGGTATATTCATGAAAAAGGAAAAACATATTTTCATAAAAATATTTTCTTAAAAAATACCTATAAATTGTACCATATTATAGCCGAAGAAGGTACATTGAAGTCAGACACTTATTTTAGATGTATGGGACTAGATCTAGATCAAGGGGCCCGGGGGGCCCGCCCCCCCCCCCCCCCCTGGGAAAAAAAGAAGGAAAAAAAAAAAGGAACCTACACTGTATTATTATAAGGGAAAAAACAGTATGATATAACTTACAGTACATATCATTAATTGTAATCTGAATAAAATATGCGTTTAGACTTAAATGGCAATATCTGGCAGATAAAAATATGCTCATCTGACCGTAATTAAATGCCTATGGACCCCACCTAGGGCCCTAGGGCGGACGGCTGAATGCTAATCTGACGGTAATGAAATGCTTAAAACCCCTGAGCTTCTTGGTTTTCGGCCCCCTGGACCTCACGCTATAATTATAAGTCCTGCCAGTGTAAAAAAAAAAAGGTATCAAAATATGTTCATCTGACCGTAATTAAATGCCTAAAACCCCTAAATTTCTGGGGCTCCACCCCTCGACCCCGCCAGGGGCCCTAAGGCGGGGTCCTGATGGTTGTCTGACCGTTATAAAATTCATGAAACCCCTGAGCATCTGGGGGCTCCGCCTCCTGGACCCCACGCCAATTCGTGACCTGCCAGTGTCACAAATAAGGTATAAAAATATGCCCATTTGACAGTAAGTAATTGCCCAAAACCCCTGAGCTTCCGGGGGCTCCGCCCCCTGTACCCCACGCCAAATCGTGACCTGCCAGTGTCACAAATAAGGTATAAAAATATGCCCATTTGACAGTAATTAATTGCCCAAAACCCCTGAGCTTCCGGGGGCTCCGCCCCCTGTACCCCACGCCAAATCGTGACCTGCCAGTGTCACAAATAAGGTATAAAACCATGCTCATCTGACAGTAATTTATTGCCCAAAACCCCTGAGCTTCCGGGGGCTCCGCCCCCTGGACCCTATACGCCTATTCGTTACCTGCCAGTGTCACAAATAAGGTATAAAATCATGCTCATCTGACAGTAATTTATTGCCCAAAACCCCTGAGCTTCCGGGGGCTTTACCCCCTGGACCCCACACCAGTTCGTGACCTGTCAGTCTCACAAATAAGGTAAAAAGTTATGCTCATCTGACGATAATTAAATGTATAAAACCCCTGATCTTCTGGGGGCTCCGCCCCCTTGACCCCACACCAATTCGTGACCTGCTAGTGTCACAAATAACGTATAAAAATATGCTCATCCGCTCTGGGGAATTTTGGAGATAGGTCCCTCCCTGGCGTTCAAGGGGGTGCGATTTTTCAAATTTTCGAAGGCCAAACAAAAATAAGTGCTCACTACCCCCTCACTTCTTTAGGGGCCACGTGCCCCCCCCCCCCCGTGGCTTCGTGCCTGGGAATAAGCTCTTATTTTTTCTCAGACAAACAGAAGTATTGTTTGATAATGAAAAAATGGAATACAGTGATACATGTAGGCAAGCAATGTGATTATATAAATTCAAAATATGTAGTTGTAAAAAATCTAATAATCAATTTAGCTTCTTATGTTTTATAAAGGGCAAAAAAGAAAATGTGATTTTGCAAACACATTCGACATTATTTTATTTAAAGGAAATATTATGGAGGGCAAATGTTGAAAAGTATCACCTCTGGAAAAAAAATGTTGATTATGTTTTTTTTTAAGTATCATCATGTTTGTGATATAAGTATAATTCATGTGTTTTTCTTTGTAATCGATATAATTATGTGTTTCTTATGTACGTATTATTCATTCATTTAAAAAAAAAAAAAAAAAAAAATGAAGATAGGCAAATAATTAATAATGTTGTTTTATAATTATTTGCCTATTTGCCTATTAGGAGAAATGAAAGCGTTCAAGTATTGAAGGAATAGGAGATAAGTTGCTTAAAAGTAAACAAGAAGACAGAAAGATTGTTACCGAGCGAAATACATTGACACTACATTATAAAAATATGGGAATATTTGAAAGTGTCACACATCACCATTCAAACGAAAACATCATCAGTGGAGTGGTCCGCCGGGTTCGCGATCGTTTTTGAGGTGGCCGCTCTCTGCGGCTTCTACAAAGGGACACTACCGCCATATATTATAGACTGCCTCTTCTCTTCTCTCCGAAGTTCTGTTTTGTTTGTTTGAGTGTTTGTTGTTGGTCGGGGGATGGGGGAGGGGGATGGGAAGGCTTTGATCTATAATATTCATTCAGTATAATTAATTTGAAGACATTATGTACTAGGCCTATAGTCTATATGAATTTAACTAGGCCTACATGTATTATGTATTTCTGAGAGCTGTACAATTTTCTTTACATTTTGATGTTATATCAATTATGTAGATGTATGATTTTTCATTTGTACTGAATGAATGCATTAAATAAATGCCACAAAATAAAAAATTGTGAATGATCAGGAAAGTTTCTTTGTAAAATTAAGAGGTCCCACCGAGACTTGAACTCGGATCGCTGGATTCAAAGTCCAGAGTGCTAACCATTACACCATGGGACCTTGGATGTACACCGAGGAGAAATTAAATATTTTATACAATAGAATCATAAATTGACAAATTCGCTTTTCAACGAATTATGCATTTCATATGATTTAAATTATTGTTAAAGATTTTCTCACCTGTAAATACTATATATTGGCCTATATATTACTTCCATCAAAATTATGAGGAAATAGAATCAGGAAGTCCATTGAAATTCTTTTTTTTATCCCACAAAGATATACATGTATGTGCAAGATACACTAGCGTTGCTTGCACATATAAGCCATTAAGCACGTACGAGAAAAGCGTGTCCTTTTCATGGAGTTTGCGCTAGTGTTTTCTTCTCTCTCGCTCGTTCTACAAATTTAGCGCACCCGTTTTTCAGCTTATAGTGCAGTGCCGCACGTACGCAATTGCAGGAAAGCTCCTAAAAATACCGGCGTCAACCGACATAGATATCATCAAAAAACAACCTTGGGTCTACCGTTCCAGAATCAAATCAAGAGAAAATGAAGGTAAAATAATATAGAACTTTTATACAAAAAGGATTTCAATTAGTTTAAGTACCAGATTTGGATTTTTACAAGGAATTTGCCACACGAGCGCGTCAAATTCACAACAACAACAGCGCCAGCTCATTCCAATGGCATTCATTAGCTATGCCTATGACATGGTATTGAATTGATAAGCCTAGCCCTAGAATGTACATGAAGAGCTAGGGCCTACAGTTATAGTCATATGTGGCTCAGGTCCTCGGCCGTGAGATGGCAAAACAATGTATTTTATTTTACACGAAGCATCTCGCTCTTGGCAGTCATCACTATCGGGACAGTAGGGGTGACCGGCGATGGTCCGAGAATAAGGATCGTCTTCATAAACGAGCATCGTCTTCGACTCTTCGTAAAAACGGACCGATGCAATGCATCCTCAAAAATAAGGATCATCCGTATTTTCGCAGACGTTTCATAATTTTGATCGGCGCGTTGGCGATGCGATAAACGGATTCTGCAATGATTTTCTTGATGCATTTTTAGTTTACATTGACTTTGTAGTTGTAGAGGTCTAGATCTAAAGCCTACAGAGACTTTCACATTCTAGAGGTCTATGAGCAATATATCCTCGGGAAGACGGACAACCCATAAAAGTAGACGCTGAACTAGGTCTAGGATTATTTTCCCATGAGGAATCTTATTTTTGCATCGCCAGCGGCAGTTCGGTAACCCGAAACCCGCAGAGCACCGATGAAAAAAAATGTCCTCAAAGTTGCAGACGATCCTTATTTTAGAGGACGCAATTTGTCCGCGTTAAACAAGGATATCCTCGTTTATGAGGATGATCCTCATTCTCGGACCAGCGTCCCTACTCACAGACTCAGAGGTAACTCCAGGAAGCTCCGACGCCGACGCCAAAATCGTAGCTTCAGAGGCCGCATAGGAAAATAATTCAAACAGCGGGTCGGCGACATTATCTCAAAATATGCAAACGGAGTAATTACAATTTTGACTTACTCGGTTGCTCAATTCCTCTGGGCATCTCTCTGGCCACTTGAAATTATAATTTGAAGAAGTCTTTGATGGGAAAAAGGGGGTGATTCTTCATCCTACCCCGATGATTCTTCCATGTTTTATCGTCAATTCAACATGGCGAAAAGAAAGTATGCATGCACAGTAACAGCGCAGCAAATGAATGTGTGTGTACTTCTCCCAACAATAATTGTTGTAAATTTGTTGGTAAACAATGAAGTGGTGAGAAGTTTTCTTTGTTTTGCCCTGAACATCTTGAGAAGGAGCCAGCGTATTACTTTCATTATTTTACCAACAAATTTGGAACAATTTTTGTTGGGAGGGGGTGCCATATTTCAGTAACTGGGAGCATTCAGGTTTCAAGTTCAAGATCGATTGGAAGCTAGATTATAAAGCCAAATAAGTTCAAAAGTCAATTTTCACAAAAAACGACTTGCAATGTCTTGTCATATCACAGCCGTCCTGTCTTACATAATATATGAAATAGATATCAATATCACCTTACATAACCCCGTGTCCACACACAACATTTTCTGTGATTAGCCGTGATTACAAAACCTGTAGTTATACCGTTACGGGATAGTTATACTGTTTCGCGAAAGTTGTACGATGAAATTGTGTGTGTGGACGCTTACTAATTAGGCGTGATTAGTTATACGTCGTATAACTAATCACGCCTAATCACGGAATGTGTTGTGTGTGGTCGTAACTAGTATAACTAGTCGAGCTAGAGCAGTATAACTGGGCGGGGCTGAAAGGTGCCCTCGTGCGAAAGGAGACCTGACCTCTCATTTTCGCTTCCTTTCCATGACCGCAGTAGCAAACTGCGCACCTATACGACTTTCACTGTAGAGTTTCGTGATTACTTTCTTGTGTGTGTGGACACCCTGGAATTAATACGATGATTCTTTATACGACGCTTCTTGTGTGTGGACACCCTGGAATTTGTACGATGATTCTTTATACGATGTTACGTTATAGAGTTTCAGGATAAATTCTTTTGTGTGTGGACACGCTGTAAATTGGCACCAATACCCCAGCATGAAGAGTGATGTAAACATAACCTACATTGTTTATAATTCCCACCCATTCCCACACCCGCCGAAGCTTGCAAACTTTCTTTGGCGTTCACTAGTGGATTCTTCTTTCTTCTCGTACAAAGCAGTTTGAAATCTGTCAGGAATTTAACCGAACATGTGAAAATTCGATACTGGAGTAATTGCTATTACCTTTCACTTGTTCCTGTTGATAATGAGCTAACATGTATTTTACATTGATAGAACTCTGACATCTCATTTAGTTCATGAGTTCACAATGTAACAAGTACATGTAAAAATATGTTGACCTTTCGATGCATATCATATTGACCCGAAGTCCCAAACTATATCAAGGTTGCTCATTTAGAGTGTATGTGGTATTAGGTTAAGTGACTACTCATGTACAGTACAAGGTTGTCAGGGAAAACCTTGTAAAAGAGATCGCTGTACAGGGATGACCTCCAACAATTTGTGAGCCTGCATTTAAACCCACAGATGTAGATATTCAATTACCTAAGACCATCCACTGCACAACAGCCTGTAATGCCATGTAATGCCACATAATTTTGTATACATGTACTTCAAGTTAGTTACAGGATCTGTCAGAAAAATGCAGATACATGCAGATCTTTGGCCTCTTATTAACATCGCTTTCTCTAACTAGTTGATCGTTTTCAAACTGACTACAAAATGTACAGCTGTAAGTAAGTTTAAGCCTAATATATTGGATGACCCTGTTTTGTGAGCTAGGCATTTTTTTCTTCTTCACAAGAATGTCATTTTGATGTCGCAAAAGCACGCCTTTTGTCTCTCTAAAATGACATTTTTAGTAAGAAATCTATGTACTCTGTGAAACTTATGAAGTTGCTCCAAAACACTGTTGTGATGAGTGGTTATAAATTAGTATCATAATGATGATGAATGTTACTTGTAGCTATTTGTGAGATGTAGATCCACCATACTGATTAGTCAGTTAAGGCAACTCTGAACTTGGCAGTGTTGAGAACCCTCGGGTCTATTTCATGTGTTACAGGCTTTTTTAGTTGAGTTGAGGATGATATGTTATGTCATGTATGCACCTTAAACTTGTTTTTTTATTCAATCGTGAAAATATATTTGGTAAGTTTATAATGAAAATGTCCCTCGTTTTTGCCTATCTAATTTTGAATAAGAATATAATTGTAAGAATTTCTGAAAGAATATTTGTCATTCTTTCAGGCGTCATGACCAACATATTTAAGTGCGTCCATATACACATGTTTTTTTTTTTTTTTTGGGGGGGGGGGGGGAGGTTTTGTTCTCAATTTGGTGGAACTGTGACCTGACTTCTGTAATATTTTGTTCCTTCCTTTTGCTCTGATACATTAAAAAAAAATATATATATTATTATATTAGTATTATTTATTTAAAAAAAATTATCTCTTTTCAGGACAATGTCATCAGCTTATGAGACAATACTTCTAGCTCCAAGGCTACAACCAACAGACCAGAAGGCATCTGCATCAGGCTTCAAATAGTCCTTGTGCAATAGTGTAATATCTGGTTATCAGTCTTTTATATCACCTGGAAAATGCAACTCTACACCTAAGCAACTTGCACAGTTAAAGCCATCTCTCCGCTAGAGTGATATTGGACACTGAGATTTGAAAAAGTGCTCTATTGAAAGCAACTCTATCATCCAAGAACTTCATAAACTCTCCACAGAAATGTCCAATCGACCGAACAGGGGTCAAAACCCTCATGGGTTGAAATTGACTAGCTTAGATCAGATATGGGACGACTTGAGAGCAGGGATCCAACAGGTTTACTCCAGCCAAGCAATGCCCAAGAAACGCTATATGGAGCTCTACTCGTATCCTTTGTAAATTTATCAAGTATCACTGAGCATAATAATAATAATAATAATACATAAGATTTATAAGGTGCCAAATCTACTGGACAGTCAAATGCTCAAGGCGCAGCTTGTGCAGAAGATGAAATATGTACAAGATACATTTATACAAAGTGCAATAGGAAAGGTACAGACATGAAAGGTTATGGTAATCAATTGTAAGCTAAATTAAACAGATATTTAATATCCAAACCATAAATTTTGTCAAAGAAAAGTGCAAAGTTCCAACTACAGTGTAATACCTTATTTCAACTATTTCCAAGCTGCCCTACGTGTACAATACTTGAAGGTTTACATGTACGTGATTTCCATGTACCAGGTAATGAATGCTCTTCCATGCTTTGTACACTCCTAGTACAATGTACAATGCCAATTGTAGTTACTTAGGGACTTTTCTTGTAAATGTGAATGTGACACAAGATGACAAGATAGACAGGCTATGCATTTGTTTTATAAGATGGGTTTACAATATGAGTATAAAGTCGAGAAAGTGACAGTTGTTATCAACAACATGCACTCCCGTGCATATCAAATTAGTGCACGCACACATGATCCATTTCAACGCTTTTCATTGGCTTCATTCTTGAACACATTTTATAATAGTACATGGAAGAGGACTTTATTTACTGCCGCTAATTTACTGATCAGCACTTTCTGTGACATCCTAATCTTTGTCATGTAATGATGGAACTTTCGGACTACCTGCTGTTCACCGCCCTTTACATGTGTTATGCAAGAATTTCAGAAATATCTTAATGCTGCTGGCATTTTGCTAAGAACATGTACTGTTTATAGTGATTGCAAATACATATTTATGAAATTAACAGGTTAGTTTGAAACAATTAATAAGCTACTGTATATACCCAGTACACATGATTTAAATATTTATAAGGAGTACATCGTCATTCTTAAACCATGAAAACTTTTAGGCAGGAAGAGGTCCCCATGTCCTACCTCCCCCCAAAAAAGTTATAAAAAGAAGTTAATGTTAGAACAAAAGATTCATGGTAGGAATTACTTAGATTTGTTCTTATTTCCTTGTATGCATTTCATTGGTCCGTAAATAGATTAGTGGAGGTCAGTGACTTGGTCAAATGTGTTAGAATGAGTTTCATATATTATAAAACCAGAAACTTTCAGGAATTGTCTAGGATGGGCATTTTGATGGCAAGAAACTTTTTGTAAGTTTTAAAAAATTAATGTTGTGAAAATTATGATTTAATTATTTTGCAGCATGAAATTTTTGCTAATCTGAAACACTAGCAAAATTTATGAACATTTCAGGAACACAAAAGTTTCTGGTTTTATAGTATCAGTACAGTGTAGTAAAAAAGAAGATCAATTTACTTTTAGTACACTGTACATACATGTGGGCGTCTATACACATACATGTACATGTATTCATGATATCTTTGTACAATTGGGCAGCGCAATAAAGGTTAAAATATGTAAGAACTTACAAACCTGCAGGCACATGTACATGTAAGACATCAAGATCTCTGTATGAACCTACTTTCCTTAATTGTCTTCACTTGTACAGCTATGTATATAACTACTGTACAAATGTCAATCAGCTTCAGCAGGCACGGACAACATCGGCTAAGAGCAAAAAGGGCACAGTGCAAGGTGGCGCACAGTTTGTGGGCCTTGAACTCTACAAAAGACTACGGGATTTTCTTAGGGATTACCTTGTAAGCCTAAGACAAGTAAGTATTAAAAGCAAAGCAACAAACTTAAGGGTATTTTTATTATTTCCTTGTCTTTCTCTTGTGTGTACATGTCATATATTATCGTTTATGTGATCATTTACAAACACAAAGTCATTAAGAATTTACAACAGAATTTGAAAATGGTAGTTTAACTAGTTCTCATTCCATTATGACCCCAACAGATAGACTGTCTAATGGTTTCTGTTTACACAGTGTTTTCACATAATAACTTTACACTTGAATTATACACACATTTTTAGCTAAGAAGAACTCAATGTTAATTATATTATTCCTTAGGATGGCTCTGACCTAATGGATGAGAGTGTGTTGACATACTACACAAAGCAATGGGAAGACTATCAATTCTCCAGCAAGGTATTGGATGGCATGTGTTCCTACCTCAACCGACACTGGGTTAGAAGAGAGTGTGATGAGGGGCGTAAAGGCATCTATGAAATCTACTCCGTAAGTACATTTTTTGTGTAATTGTGTGCATTGCATCCTGTACAATACATAACATTTATCCATGTAAATTATTTCATCAAAAAGTCTCTTGATATGACCATTGTCTGATGGTCATTTCAAGATATTTTTCATTTTTTGATGAAATTAGTGGAAAAAAGAAACAGGATACTATGTTAAGTGGAATGTTGTTGATATCCAATTTTCTTTGAGTCATTTGATCATGATCAAGGAACCTCTTCTATTGTGTGTAGTGGTCCAAACATGCAGATTTCCAAATACTATCCCCAGCGGTGTCCAGTATATAATTGGCTTGTACATCATTATGAAGCGCTACCCTTGACACTTGATGATTCGCCCTATGACACACTAACATACTATAAATAACAGCTTTGGATGAGGTACTATATTCATTGGGCTCTTTAATTGGGCATATCCACAACAAAGGACATAGAAATATCACATGGATTCTACCTTTAACTTCCACTTATAATTTCACTTTTTTGTTGTCCTTATATCATTTAAATAGGACAGCCAAATTATTTGCATACATGTATGTTCATGTCTGTATGCACACATTTCGGTGTTCATTCTTTTAGTAAATTTGTGAGATATTTATTGATAAAATAAGTTTTTACTTTTTTACTTTATGTCTTGTATTATATGTATTAATATACCATGTTTGATATAATATCTTTCGCTTGCAGCTTGCCCTGGTCACATGGAGAGAGCACTTGTTCAAGCCACTCAACAAACAGGTACATTTTAAGTGATTTATAGCATTACTTAGAAAAGCTTTTAAGGACAAAAATACATGTTAAATAATCATTTTAAATATCAGTTATTCTAGTTTGCATGCAGACTCTATAAACTTCCCACTTCAACATAGATAAAAACAACTGATGTCGTGATAAAATTTATATGGAGGCCCTTCAATTGGGTTGTCCAGTTTTAATTGTTTATTATTCCATTCAAAAACATATTTTGTACATTTTATGTAACCTGCAAAGCAGCTGGAGTTGGGTTATTTATACATATATACATTGGCAAAAATAAATAGCATCTTAAAATGTACAATGCATCTTAAGATATGTAAGTGAATGGTGTTTTTGATATAACTGAACTTTTTAATGTATTGGTCATGTAGTATTGATGAGGCTTTTTTAATTTTGTTATTGTTTTAGTCTTTTCATATGTTATTGTAATATCACTCTTCCAGGTTACCAATGCTGTTCTGAAATTAATTGAAAGGGAAAGGCATGGAGAGCCAATCAACACACGGCTGGTCAGTGGTGTGATTCAATGTTATGGTAAGAATTATTTCATGAAGTTTCAGAGTCAGTATTTCAATGACTTTGACTTGTCAAATATATTGACACCATCTTGAAGATGCAGTCACAGCATGGGTTAAAGGACCATGTTTACATACACTTGCTGAATATTTCCAGAAGTGTTATACGTACTGAAGATAATTTTTAGGACTAGGGAACCACATGCTCTGCTGACACTTTCTCTGCAGTCAATTTCCTTACACTAATTAAACTTCTGAATTCAATCCTGAAGTCAACACCATACCCTGACCCTAACCTTAACAAACATAACTTAGCATGAAACTCTATCCTAACCCTAACCCTAAACATTCAACAAATAGAAAACATGGAGCAAATGATAGAGGAACAAATGTTGTAAGAGAAACTTTTAAAGGAGCAGTTATTGGACGATAGTTTCCTAAAGCCCCAGTCCCATATAAAGCCGGACCAGCACGGACGAGCACGGACCACTCCGGACCATCCCGGACCATGGTCTGGGGTGATCCGGGATGGTCCGGGATGTTTTGTTCAAAAAAGTCCCATATACGTCCCGGACCGTCCCGGACCATCCCGGACCCCATCCGGGGTGATCCGGGATTCGGTCCGTGTTGACACCGTGTTGGCACCGGGGTGGTCCTGGATGGTCCTGGATGGTCCTGGATGGTCCTGGGCGGTCCGGGAGTCGACCCCGGATGTTTTTGACGGTCAAAAACTGCCGGGGTGGTCCGGGACGGTCCGGGACAATAGTTTGATCCGGGGTGATCCGTGTAGCCACCGTGCTGGGTCCGGGGTCATCCGTAGTGGCGCCGGGGCGGTCCGTGTTGATCCGTGGCAGTCCGGGAGTGAGTTATTGACCGCCCAGGACCATCCAGGACCATCCAGGACCACCCCGGTGCCAACACGGTGTCAACACGGACCGAATCCCGGATCACCCCGGATGGAGTCCGGGATGGTCCGGGACGGTCCGGGACGTATATGGGACTGTAGCTTAATGTTTTCTTGCATGTCTGTTTTAATGGTGGAATGATGTCATTCAGATACATATGTTTGTATTGCAATGTGGTGACACCTGTATTTTATCATTCCTTCTCTTTGCTTTACAGTTGAACTTGGTTTGAATGAAGATGAGCCAACTGCTAAAGGTCCAACCTTGAGTGTGTACAAGGACTCGTTTGAGAGTCAGTTCCTATCTGAGACAGAACGCTTCTACACTTCAGAGAGCACAGAGTTTCTCAGACAGAACCCTGTTACAGAGTATATGAAGAAGGTAAGAGGTGTTTTTTTTTTGTTATGCCTCCATTACGAAGTAGCCGGAGGCATTATGTTTTCGGGTTGTCTGTCCATCCGTAGGTCCTGTTCTCGTGATCGCGTTATCTGAAGAACTGATTCCTGCCAAACTTCAGCCCTAATTTCTTAATAAATAATTGGTACGTTTGACATTGCTAGGTGCAGACATGTCAGCTGTTGATGAAATTCTTTTTGTGTGTGTATTTTTATGAAACTAGAGGTTCAAAGCTTTCTAATGGAAAATACATATGACCTTCAGTTTAGTACGGTCAAACGCACCTGAATAACATGATGACAATTTACCATGAGCAATGTATAACAGCTGCTCAGTGATACCCAAACTCTGTACGAAATTCTGAGTATTGCTAGTTTTTTCACAAATCTTAGATTGTGCTCTTGTCATTTACTTGTGAAATTGATGATTTTTATTATTTTTTAATCCAATTAATTAAATTTACTCAGGCTGAGACAAGATTGCTTGAAGAGAGAAGACGAGTCCAGGTTTACCTACATGAGAGCACACATGATGATCTGGCTAAGAGATGTGAGAGGGTACTCATCAAGAAACATCTTGACATCTTCTACTCAGAATTCCAGAATCTCCTTGATGCTGATAAAAATGATGGTGAGAAACTGCGTTTTCAAGCATAGAAATTATTGGGCGATTCCATGCAATGCATCCCGTATGACAAATGTAAATTATCCAGCTATTTCATTTCATGACGAGAGTTAGGGTTCATGAGGTTAGATATGAAAGGTCACAGGGGTTGTTAATCAACAAAGATACATATATGTGAAGGTGTATTGGAGAAGCAATGACTGCAGCTGTGGATGGATTGAATAACATATTTTCGTATTTGGTCCATGCACAGATCTTGCAAGAATGTACAGCTTAGTATCACGCATACCCGATGGACTTGGTCAGCTCATGACACTCCTGGAGACACACATCTGTAACCAAGGATTGGCTGCCATTGAGAAGTGTGGAGAAACAGCTGTTAATGTGAGTATCATTTATGATATTTATTCATGTAGAAACATATGTAGCCACAGTGTAGTGTATAGGTTTTGCTATTGAAATTCAGCCCTTACATTATATATGACCACGTCCCATAGACATTGATAGATCTGACAATTGCTTTGGCGACATTTGCTGCGGGCTCAAAGATGTAGGTTATGCTTGCTCTTTGGTTTTAGGTCAGATCTAGGGTTAGGTATAGTATTGGGTTCATGGTTTAAGTTGAGGGTATTGTAGTGAATTGACTGCAAAGTAGCCGTCCCTGGCATGTAAATCATACAACACCATAGACATGGCATTTATTTGCAGTGCCCTCTCTTCATTTATTGAAAATGGTCACATTTGGATGTTACATAATTTCATGCCAAACCAAAACCAAGTTAACAGTTTCAAAAGCAAACATGTAGAGACTTTGCTGTACAACAGCTGACTGTTACTACTCATGTACAAAATAATGTAAACATTTTTTACAAATATAGATGTATCTAAAGCTGTCACAGCTATATGCTGATGGGATATCATTTTGAACCAGAAAATTTATTTTTACAGGTTTTATAATCTAAATTTCTACCAATTGTCTTGATGTTGTTTCTTTTTCTAGGATCCTAAGCTGTATGTACAGACCATCCTTGATGTTCACAAGAAGTATAATGCCTTGGTTCTCACTGCTTTTAACAATGACTCAGGCTTTGTTGCATCGCTAGACAAGGTAAGCTGCTTCCTTCTATTACACATTAAAAAAAAAAATGCTTTTAGAGAAATATAGTTTGATAATGTTATTCATGTCTACAGTAATCAAGTTGTTTCCCAATAAACATGCAAGATTTGTTCATTACCTGTTACTCAACAGTTCTTTAATGTACACCTTGTCATACCCGGGATATTCATTTGTGCATTGGTGTTGTACAGTACTAGCAAGTTACAGTTATTGGATTATTTTGAATTTCATTGCTTGTTATTTTACTTCTTGACGCCATCAACTTCTAGGCCTGTGGAAGATTCATCAACAGCAATGCTGTCACCAAGATGGCCAATTCATCAAGTAAATCTCCAGAGCTCCTGGCCAAGTACTGCGATTCACTGCTCAAAAAGAGCTCCAAGAATCCAGAGGAAGCAGAATTAGAAGACACACTAAATCAAGTGGTACGCATAAGCTTCAGTGAAAAAAACTTTTTTGGAAATATTCAGGATACCATTTTACTAAGGCAGAGTAGTTGAATCATAAGTGTGCAAAGATGAGACATGACTGTGGTATCAGAATAACTTAGTCTTATTGCCTCCATAAATCACATGTACACATTAATTATATGAAAAGTTTTTTAGCCAACTGAATAGATGATATTTCTCATTATTTGTGTGAAAATTTGTACAGCGTTATACATGACTCAGGATAGTGTATAAAAAACTGAAAATGTTGCATTTATCTTTGACTTTTACACCATAAAAAGCGATGTATACTAACTATCACAAGTTTCATTTCGGATTTGATGAGAATAGGAGGAAAAAAATAACAGTCTGAAAGCATGCAATGTGGTTATCAATGGCAGTTATTGTAGAGTTATGACAAATTTACTGTTGTCTTTAATAATGATATTGATGTATGCATCGATATGATATTAATGTTTCACTAAATAATTTCAACAATTTTTAGCAAGCAATTATTTAGGAAACTTCACTCTAGTAACAAGAATGTAATGATACAATGTATTGAGTAGTGCATTTTGACCATATTGTTCATTCTAGATGGTAGTGTTCAAGTACATAGATGACAAAGATGTTTTCCAGAAGTTCTACTCCAAGATGCTCGCTAAGAGACTTGTTCATCATAATTCAGCCAGTGATGATGCAGAAGCCAGTATGATCTCAAAACTCAAGGTAATCAATGCATCATCTCTTCCTTATCAGCATTATTCATACAGTATACCTTCCTACAAAATGAATGGATATATATGGATATATTCTGTGAAAACTTTTTGCCTCTAGAAGTCATTATTTTGTGGGAATTCTTTGATAATGATAGCATTGTTTGTTGTAATAAATAGGGGTGGTATTCTGCAAAATATCTTTCACAAATTTACGTCATACAAAAGATGACATAAGCTTTAAGAATTCCGCTCCAGGTTTAATTGTATGTGCTAGTTGATGGTGATTTTGCAACAGACAACTTCAATTCTAGAATATTAGATGCATATAATAGTGAAATAGTTCCAGCAAGTTAGCTACAATTAAGATACCCAGAATAAAATAAAGAAGGTTGATAGTTGTGAGGCTGCAAGACAAAGTGAACTATCAAAACGTAAAAAGGTTATGTAAAGGTAATCTAAATAACTAAGCTACAATGATTGTTTAAATTATATTCCTACAGTAAACTGCTCAACCTGAAGAAAAAAACCCATAATAATTAAGAGCAACAGCATGCAGCATGTTTCATAAAGTTTTAACAATACATTTTATTTTCATGTAACAGCAAGCATGTGGCTTTGAGTACACTTCCAAACTGCAGAGGATGTTCCAGGACATTGGTCTAAGCAAAGACCTGAATGAACAGTTCAAGAACCACCTAGCAAGCAGTGAATCTCTAGATATTGATTTCAGCATTCAAGTCCTGTGTTCAGGGTCATGGCCCTTCCAGCAAGGCTGTACCTTCAACCTTCCTAGCGAGGTAAGACATCAGAGAGAGGCCCCTGCATCAAGTTTAACCAGTCTATATAGATATTTCATACAGGGGTTCATTGCTATAATGTATGGATAATGTGATTTTCATTGTAAATATGTAACACAGTTGTGTTATGAAGGTATTTCATGAAAAAAAGGTTAAGTTGAACATTCACCTAAGGGCATATTGAGTTGTTAATGGTGATCAGTCCAGGCATGGTGGTTATCACTGTGTTCTATCTTGATGTATTGATCTTGACCTTACAAAATAAATTTTTACCTGGTAGGAAGAAAATCCATAACAATTTTCTCACACCCCTTTTTGCCTACCCAGCTTTATCCAGGTGAACAATGTGCGCAAAGCTTTTAGACATTGTGTGAAATGTTCTGCCAAAGTAATGTTGACTATTTTGATTGTCTTGCCCACCAAATGTGTAAGCGAGACTTTGTGGTCACAAATAATTTTTCATCCATTTATCCCATTGGGACAAAATAAATTTGGAACCAAGACTTATTTTCTAACACAATCATGGCAACTGTCAGTAAAAGATTGCTATGCACACTTTTGTTAGGGATGTTTTTTTGAAACATTCATGTAATTTGGTGGGCGAGACATAATGCGGTGCTTCCTTTTTGTCTCCCCTGCGTAGCAAAAAAGCGAGACATAGGCGTCGCTTTTCCGGTGACGGCGACGGCAGCGGCGGCGTCAACATCGAAAACTTAACCAAAGGTTAAGTTTTTGAATTTTTGATATAATTTTGAAAGTTTAAGTTCTTAGTCATTGAAACTTGGACTATAGGATTATCAAGTATCCCCAATCATGTGAGCAGTATATCAGGTCACTAAGTTAACGTCAAAGGTCATTTTATGTCAACAAACTTAGACTTTGTTGTGGCATCAACATCAAGATTTTGAATTTTTAGCATATTTTCAAAATTGTGTGTTCAAATTCCATGAAACTTGTACCCAAGGGTTACCAAGTATCACAAATCATATGACACAAATTCGAGGTCACAAGGTCAAAGGCCATTTTAGGTCAGTAGACTTGGATTATGTTTTTACAACTCAATATGAGAATTAATAAATCAATTTTTTTAATAATTTGTTCATATTTCATTCAAGTTATCGATCGTGGCACCATTAATAGTAAATAATTTTCCTGATGATTCTTAGTCCATACATGCCAACTGTTCAGATTAAAGAGGAACATTCCTCTTTTTGGGAGAAGATAATTATCATTTTAATGCAGGTGTTCCTCTTCCTGTACAAATTTGTCTGTAGTATTGAATAGGAGAGTTAGGATTGTTCCTCTTTTTTTTGAAAATAGCATAATTTGTACAGATTTCTGATTTTCAAATGTTGGCATGTATGTTCACTTCAAAATGCTGATCATATTCGGAGGATTTCTTTTTGTGGGGCCTGCTAATGGGCCACCCTGCCTATAAATAATGTTCCAACCTTAAATTTTTCATCATATCGAATTCTGTAATGCAGGCGAGACCGCCGAGAGCGTTTCCCTTGTTTTGTTATACGTCCTTACCAGTAATATCAGTGGCTGTACAGATGTCAATGAATGTATGGATAATGTGGAAAGTATTTTTCCTGAGTGGCATTTACAACAATTTCTTTTATGATTTTCACCAATTATCAGTTGGAGCGAAGCTTTCAACGATTCACCACCTTCTATGGCAGCCAGCACAGTGGGAGGAAACTTATGTGGATCTTTCAAATGTCTAAGGGAGAGCTGGTCACTAGTTGCTTCAAGAATAGATACACATTGCAGGTACAGAAGTTTACTCTAGATTTTATCGTAATATGTAATCTGTTGCTGAAGAACTCTTACAGCAATAGTGTAGGATCAATTTAGTGTATGATTCTCTGTCTCCTTCCCACATACACAGCACAAGAAGCAAGGCAAAAGCAGTCTGTAACAGACTACAATATATATATGAGAAGTATAGCTGGATACATATGTTGTAAAGCTGTTGTAGCCTAAATTTTATTCCTAATGGATAAGGCTAAGGATATAGCTGTTAAGGAATAGCTTGAAGCTGTTTTGAAGTTATGATTTGTTCAGAAAATTTAATAAAATGTTTTATTTTGAAGTTTGATTTTTGAAATTTTGTTCATTTTATTTGTTTTCTGCCCCAAATCAGGTCTTTGATACCTTGTCATTTTGAAATACAATTTTATAGCTGTTATTCATGTTATTTGTGTCTTTGATATTTCCCTGATTGACAATTTGAAACCTTGTAAAACCTCCCTCTAGCAAGATTTCAAGATATTATTGCCTGGCTGTTCAATAGTATTCCAAACATGGTATTTTTAGGAAAAGTGTCCTCTCTTTAAATCTAACTACTACCATTCTTTGTTCCTTCTTTCCTTTACAGGCTTCAACATTTCAGATGGCTGTACTCTTACAGTTCAATGTCTCTGATTCGTACACAATACAACAGCTCCATGACAGCACACAGATCAAAATGGTAAGTCATGAAATGGCAAGATGTCCAGCCTTATTACCCTCCTACCACCCATCCTCTCCCACCAGCGCTATAGTTCTCTTTGAAACTATAGCTCAAGAAAGATTACCAACGGTCCTTTTCAGGACCCCCCAATCCTCCCCCCTCCTCTCTCTCTCACATGGTGCAACCGTAAGCCTACTGTATATGTATATATATATATGTCTGTATATTTACTGTATTTTGTCATTTGTATATGTCAACAAAAAGGTGTACTTCAAAAAAATCTGGAACATTATCCTTTCCTCTTTTTTAGCTTATTGAAAGGTTTGTTTTACGACAATACAAGTTTAAAACATTGTGAACCATGTTTTGGGATTGAACTTGATTTGCTCTACTTGTAGTTTTGTTTCTTTTATGTAAGATGCATTTTTTCTTGTTTTTCCCCCTTACAGGACATACTGACTCAAGTCATTCAAATTCTTCTCAAGTGCAAACTGTTAGTTGGGGTGAGTACATCATGAATTGCTTACTGATATTTAAAATAAGGAGTTATGTGAAATAATTGATGTGAAGATAAGCCTCCCATCTAAGATAACTGATGTGTATAAGTGAATTCTATCTAGAAATTTCTACTCTTTTGGGAGTGTCATGAATATTGTATCATATAAACACTAATAAATATCTGTGTAACTACATGTCTTTATTTGGAAAGTCTGCCTCCTATTCCCATATAAAATATGAAAGCGTGCCATTAAATCATGAACTTGTTCTCATGTCCACACTTTTTTCTATAGGATGATGGTGATGATGAACTCAAGCCAACAACTGAAGTCAAGTTATACCAGGGCTACAAAAAGTAAGCTGCAATATTCAGTAGTATAAGTTTATTGTTTTTCCCAAACATTTTGTTTCTTCAAAGAATCAAGTGAATTGACTCATAGAATTAAATTCAGTGTTTATTTTCATATTTTCATATTTTCATATTTTCAATATTTGCAATGATTGATGATTGAACAGTTGAATGTAAATCGAACACCTTGCAGCAAAGTAGTGTATGTTTGTGTCAGAACAACATGCAGTTCTTCCCACATCCCTGTGGCTATGTCTGACAATGTGGCAACATACATGTATTGCTCCATCCCCCAAAATAAAATGAACTTACTGAAATTACAACAGTTAATACAGGAGTAAAATGATTTTGCTTTATGTGAAAAATTCATTAACGTATTATTGCGTACTACTTCAGTAATGTTTTATTCATTGAAGGTAACTTATATATGTGACCCCCAATATACTTGAAACCCAACAGCAAAAAGCTGCGAGTGAACATTAATGTACCAATGAAGACAGAGCAGAAACAAGAACAGGAGACAACACACAAGCATATTGAAGAAGATAGGAAGCTTCTTATTCAGGTATGTTGATCATCCCAAAGATAAGTCTTCAAAAATGAGATTCACAACATAAACTTCTGAAAAGGAATGAAATCAATTCTGTGCAAATTGTATAGAGATACTGAACATTGATTTAATTTAGGATTCATATTTCCTGAACTACTGATTATGTGCATTGTATATTGTTATTGTGGCAGTATAAAATTGCTTATTTTTTGTACATGTAGATAGGCCTTAACGGAAATTAAATTTGTCGTCCAATGTTGTAATGATTACACCAGTATCTATAAATTTTGAATTTAGTTCAGGAAATTTGCATGACAGGAGTTTCTCAGATGCAATCTATACAAATGCACTCTGTTACATTTGGTTGTCCAAACCTTATGTTACCTTGCCAATGGGTCAGAGTCTCTTGGATATGTCACCAGACTGTGGATCACATGGTTCAAGTCCTGGCGCGGCAATTATTTCCCTCGCTGGGCATTAATGTACATTTTTCACTCTTTACCCAGGTAGAGTAATGGATACCTTGTAGGAACAAATTCTGTCTTATCATAGTAAACAAGAAACATTGTTATTATCATTGTTATTGTTGTGTTGTTGTTTCTGTTATTATTGTTGGTGATGTTTTTTATAATAGTCGTTATTATCATGTGCTAAGTCTATTCATCACTCTGACATATAGCCTTGTAAGATTTGCATGTGTCTCTGATGTTTCACAGGCTGCAATAGTTCGTATAATGAAGATGAGGAAGGCTTTGAGGCACCAACAGCTCTTGAGTGAAGTCTTGACCCAACTCTCTGGCCGCTTCAAACCCAAGGTGCCTGTCATCAAGGTAAACTATATGCTCTTTTAGAGATTGATTTGGCAAATACATATTAAAGAATTTGTCTAAGAACCAAGCTATAGCCCAAAGCCTTTATCGCTCCCAATGAAGTCTTTTGGCCCAAATTTACAAAGGTGGTCTATCTTAACCTGTTGTTAAAACCTTAACAATTAGTGTTGTACTTGCATTTAGTAATGGCCAATGAAAAGTCAATAAACCCTCATATCCACTTGTTTTAGTCCATGTGGAGGTTTCTTTAATGTTTTTTGTGTGTGAGATAATGATAAACTAACATTGTCCACCCACGTGCAGTAAATGGGTACCTGCTAGGAAGAAATTCCTTGAATGATTAAGCATCTTATCATGGTAGCTTAATACTGTTGAGGCTACCCCGGGTAAACATCGTCATCATCATCATTACAATTCCCCTTCTTTGTTAAATTCCTTTAGAAATGCATCGACATCTTGATAGAGAAGGAGTACTTGGAGCGTGTAGATGGGGAGAAGGACGTGTACAGCTACCTAGCATAGAATGCACCATGCTTGACACGAAGATCAACCTTCGCATACATGCACACTGAAGGAACTTAAAGGGACACAATTTTCCCCGGTCAAAGGTTACTTCTACTGGACTTAAACAATCAGTGTGGATAGTCGTCTTTGTGAGATGAATTTGACCTTGGACAATACAAGACTTTAGTTTGTTCCAGTCTTTCAAGGAACAAGGTCCTCTCAACGAGTCACTGTGACCAAGCTTCTTCAGCCTTGAATTAAGACTATCAACATCCTACAGAAAAAACAAAACAAAACAAAACAAAAAAGAAGAAAAGAAATGAACTTTGATGTAGGCTGTGCGTTTATGAGAGTATTTATATACATGTCAAATTGAAATCTTCTGTTGACTAGCATGACTTTTGTTATCTTTTCTCAAAATACATCTTGAAATGCAAATCCACTTGTCTGGTTGTACGTGGTGACCAATGTGGACCAGCATTTTTTGCCCTTTATAGATACATGTTTGAATACAGATGTCATAATTATATTCTGTTTTAATTGGAATAGTCTCTCTGGACCAGACTGCCTGAACATTATCATAAGGGCAAAGATTTATATATTGGTACTGCACAGTTTACCTTCTACATAATTGTGTTATATTATACTATTTTTATTCACAGAACCCCCAACCTCACTGGGTCTGTGAACACACTAATGCACACATGTAACTGGTAGTCCAGATGTTTTTCAATTATTTTTGTTTCATAATTTATTCTTTTACTGGCAATAGTTTGGAGGAAGGATCAAACTGTTATAACTTCCAATTTATTATTAGTTATGTTAATTTTGAAGTTAAAGGGCGCCTTGAGGTAGTACATGTAGGTATCAATAATTCAATTGTCTTCAAGATTGAAACGATGAAATTATTTTTTATTTTTGAGCATATTTTAATCTGAAAGGATATGCGCAGTAATGCAAACTGTTGCGGTCAAATATAATTGAACAGAGAAAACCAAACATTTATCGATAGTTGAATACTGTGGGGCCTTGATATAAGTTACCATCTTTCCTTGTGTGTGATAGAATTGCTATTGGTACACAAAGGAATGTACAATTTGATACGATTCCACATGAACACACACACATACAAAAAAGCTGGCTTGACTGTCCACATGTAAATCCAATTCATTTAGCATTAAATGTATTAGTATAATTCATGTTATGACCTTTCCCTAATTTAGAATTCACTGGGATGTCATATGGGTAACTGACATTGGATATTTGTCACGTCTGTTTGGAGCCATTAATCAACACTTTTGAAATAATCATTGCATGCAAGCACGTTGTAGCATTTGACTACCAATCAGTACTTCCAGTAAGAAGCCTTTCAATGGGGTGAATTCACAATTAACAGCACCCCACTTGCAAGCCACGACAAGCTTATTTTTTAAGCTAGTGGGTCAAAATCTTTCAAACCGGTGCGCAGAACCGCAAAACGCTAGCCACCGGTCGGAATGACAAAAGTGGTAAAACCTGGATAAACTCATTCAATGTGTTTGATTGTCGTGATATCAGAACACATTTTTTAATTGAATTTGGATGTCAAAACCCATCCCATCAATTGATTCTAACTGAAAATGTTGCCTGATGTGGACAAATATCTTTACAAATAGTCATTTTGGGGACTTAAAATTGACCCAAGTGACAAAAATGTTGTTGATTGCCTTCAACATGACCACTTTTTGCAGCATCAGGGCACATTTTCACATAGGATAGATCCATCACAATCCTTTGCTGATAGAAATGATTGGAAAAATTTCCCCGACCCAAAATCACCATAATGGTCAGTTTGGGCAAAAATTACCTATTATATCTTCTCCAGAAAATCTAGAGAGTAATGATGATAACGATGTATACCTGTTATGTACTGGAGGTCCTTCATATTTTGGAAATCACAGAAATATAGAGGAATAGAGAGGTTTAGCTTTTGAATCCCCAGAAAGATCCTTATTTCAATATTACATGTACATGTACATCCTGTGAATACAACATAATGCCAATATTTTTATCGACATTTATGAGAGTGCTTCTGATGCCATTAAATAGATTCCAAATTGCATCGAATACTACAAAAGTAAAAAATACATATGTCAGATAATTCTTGCAAGTGTGGAGATGGTCTTAAGGTCTTAAATTTCTGATAAATTCCAATTGTATTAGATATGAAAATTTTAACCAATATAATCTTCTTAATTTAGGGTCTGATTAATGGTAAAAAGACTACAAATTGAAAGTTGATGCATTGAAAAGATGCTGGTTGAAGTAAATGCCAAATCAGCTCCAAATAGTAGACCATCGCACTACTAGACTGACATCACTTTCATTCAGAGCTGATTTTGCTTTTTCTGCTTTGAGAGAGATTGCAATGTCCCCCAAATATTAATTTAAGAATCATATGCAACATAGAACCTCACTCATTAACATTTTACATATTTTAATATCAAAAGCTATTGCAAATTATTCCAAAATCAGATTGTAGTCACATCGCGTAGTGTGCAGTGGGCTTTAAACTTCACCTTTCCTTTAATTAACCTTTTGTGGTCAATATCCATTTTCTCGACCACACGGACAAAAATTAAACAAAACTTAAGAGCAAAAACATTTGTAGCCACCATTGTATCAGAATACACAAATACATATATACTAGGATGCAAGACAGGATTTATGCTGATCATTTCTTATGTGCCGGTGACGCTGGTCCAGCAATCAAGATGGAATATATGCACAATTTCTTTTTTGTTTGTTTTAGAAGTATATCATTTTGCATTGGATACATGTGATAAGAAACATTTGTGATTGGAACATTCTCTTTTTCAGAAATTAACCTGTACAGACATAAGCAGATTTCTGAAATGATGTATGTTTCTAGATGAATGTGAGATCTGATAATGAAATTTTGTACGAATGAGAATATGAAGGACGAGAAAACGTATAAAAAAATTACCGGTAATGCTATATGAAGAAAATTATCTTTTAAGTCTATAATGAGATACTTTCCTCAGACGGGATGACTTGATGGGAAAAAACAAAGGCGGGATAGTAAAGACTATTTCATAAGCACAACGTATTTTCTATGAATTTTGTTGTATTTATTGAATGAATTTTTATGGCTAATTTATTTTTCTTTCCTTTTTTAAAAGATGAAAAATGACCAGGAATTGCAAGTGGCATTTTGAATGTCCATTTTGTGCAAGCATATGTGTATGTCATTTATCGCGTTTTGCTTGAATTCAACAAAGTGGAAACAAATTCTATTAATTTAATTTTGTTTTTTTCTTCTAAAAACTAATGTTATTGGTGGTGCATAGACATTATTGATTCTAGATTTATTTTTATTTTCAAACTCTTATTTCTAGTAAATAGAAGTATTTTATGTTCAAGCATTATATTTTGCTATGTCCAGTTGTCTGTCGATGATATAGAAATTTGAACAACCATTATGATGCTTCTAATTTCATAATTTTATGATTTTTAGTGATACTATGATATATATAGTGTTGCTATGGAAAGTGCATTAGTCTTGAAATGCCACAGCTTTGTTTCCACAGTTGCATGAAGCATTGTCATATCAATTATTTCCTCTCTCGCTCTCCTCTCCGTAGCATATATATCACATCTATCAGAGTTTTCCATGAATGATAAACCTTGTGTTATTTCTGTGACACAAAGGACATGATTTAAATTTAGATGAATATAATATAACCTCTCAACATGGTAGAAGTAGAGAGGATCAGTTGAAGAGAGTGAGAGAGTTTATATCAATTGCTATGCTAAACCATCCCTTGGTACGTAAGTTACAGATATGCTTGCTTCGTGTGTTGTAGAAATGTATTGTACTCTGGGCAACACTTACATTGTAATATTTTGAAAATTGTTATTAACATGTATTATGAAATGGAGAATGTATCTTGCCTGATTATTGAAGTGTTTAAATTGAGATAGAGAATGAAATGAAAGAGAAATGACAGGGACAGAGAGGTGAGAAGGGTAAAAATTATACATGTATAATCATAGTGAAAGAAAGACAGGAAGGTTGAACAAATAATACTATGGCCCATATACTGGTCACTTAACTATTAGCCAGATATAATCCATGGCTAAATAGGCCCAGCTGACTTATTTACAGAGTGTGAGATGTCATCATCTCCACACTCCATATCACCGGTAATAGACCTACTTTCCAATGTACTTCAGTTTGTAAACGTTTCTCTCCCTAACCAATGCAATTCCACCTGCTTTGAAGACTGGCTTCTCTAAAGATGAAATCCACTTTGGATACATCAGATGTGCTATGTTGCGCTATGGCAAACCATGAACCGTGATCTTCCATGTGTCTGAACTTGGTTGAGCCATGTTTAACCTACACTGCCTTTTGGGCCCCTGAGACTGGATGATTGAAAATGATGCTGAGATTGTCATTTTTATGCGAGTGTTGCTGAAGATGTTTATATATACCCTACTGGACCTGGAAAAAACAATGCTATAGTCAGGAAAAAGAAATTGTTGTCTCAAGATTCCTCCTGGCTGTAAACAGATGAAATATTCTTTCATTCATATACTGAAACTGTTTCTCAACATTTTCTGTCAACATAATTCATAAAAGAAAAAAAATAATCCTGATATAAAAAAAATGCCAGTACTATACCCCAAAGCACAATTTTAAGGATCCATCAAAACCAATTTTTTTAAAAAAAATTTTAATTTTTTTTTTTATAGGACACCTTTTTAAAGGTTTCATGAAAGTTTTGTTCCATATAACACGAGAATGATTATAACACAGGATATTTAATGTGTTTTAGAACAGAAGAAATAGAGAACCAAGGAATATGATCCTGTCCAATTTATGGTGTAAAAGTGCACCTAAAATCACATAATACCTAATTACATTTCACTTGCTATTACGAATCATATAAAACAAAATAAAGTTTTGCAAACACGTTACAGTTAAAATAGAAAAGAACACATTTGAAGGTGATAATTGCATTAAAAATGAAAGGAATAAACCCCATGGAGAACCTCTAAAATTGCAGTCAGTTGTTCCAGTTTATAACGTTTATTGCATAGGCTACTTTAAGGCCATATACATAATTTTCTTTTTACCTGATACATGGTAATTAATAGTGAAAACTCCTTCATTCATATATTTCGTTAGTAATGTTTGTTTGAAGTTTGAAACACTTCCTTTTTAATACAATTTATTTTTCATTTCATGATTGTATACCTCTTCCTTGAGAATACTGGCTTTTTATGATTAATGCTCAATGATGACACCGACTGATATAAAGGCTAGAGTAAACATTGAAGTACAGTGCAGTACAGTACACAAAATGTGTTGAAATCATTGACCGAGCGAGAAAATAATGGGGATAACCCGGGGGATAACCAGGATATTTGCATTTTAAAGAGAAGCCATGTTAAGGACAGCGCCTTTTGTACGCATTCCATTAACATTGAATTTTGACATTCTTTCTCTACGATTGCTTTCCAAGTTTTCATCTTCACTTTTTGCCGAATTATGTGCCAGTGAGTTCATTTGATTTGGTGCGCACAAATCAGTAGCCATTCCAATCCCGTTCCGGACATTCGTGCATCCCTCGAATCAGTGTGCACTTGTCTCGTAATCATTCTCAAAGCCTGGAATGCCAGGGCAGCTGCAGGGGCTGTGCATTGTTTAAGTATTAGAAGAATATGTTCTGACTGCTTACTGGAGATTTGATTCTAGTACTATTTAGTAGAGCCCGCCCTATAAGAGCTGTTGTCTTTCCACTTTCCCTTTCTCAGTTGTGCAGTGCATACAAAACTGGACTGTCCAGTTTAGTCATAACTTCAGTTTCCAGTGAATAGCAACAACTTAATTCAGCAAAGGTTTTGAACTTTGACTTCTAGTGATTTTAATTGTAAGAGTGACAATTGAAAGCAGGGTTCAAATCATCAGAAATATGGAGACAATGGAGGAGCCAGATGAAGAACACATTGAAGCCACTGCGACTCTCATGGCTTCTCAATTAGTACAAGCTCAGCTCAGCCCATGGGATCCTATCAAATGCAAGGATTGGGAAAACCAGAAACCAAGTCAGCTGTGTCTACTTCGAATTAAAAGGTTTGTATGGCAGCTGGCAGGGTTTGATAAAATTAATCTTTGCATGTGCTCTATATATCTGTATGATATCAAATACATAATTTCGAATTATGTCGTGACTTTTCGTCATATTTCAATATTGGATGAACAGAATGAATGAATATAGACCCTATCCTATGAATAAATTAAATAAGTCTTTTATTTTAAGATAGAGATCATGTTCGTAGTACAATTTGTTGATTGCCAAATCGGTGTTTCGCTTCTTTGTTTGTTCTATTCATAGATCAGTATCTATATCTTTGTTTCTCATAGTTTGATTGATCGATGTACCAGCCCGTACAATCTATCAAACTATATGTCATCTCAAAAGTCAAAGAGTGCTATTGTACATTGCATCCGTCTGTCTTTTAATTTCCATCAAATGCAAAGTCAAAGCTCAACTCTATGAGATAGATATCGCCATATTGTATGAATAAAATAAAGTATTTTAAGTCTGATAATTGCATTGTTTGACTGTTTTTGTTTTTTTTAATTAAATATCCTACACTTGGTTTGAATTTGTAAATTAAGAATTGCTTTTGACAATAATTTTTTTTCAAACATTGATTACAGGGACATCATGAACATCTATACAGATCCACCATTGGGAATGTGTATTGTACCTGAGGAAGATATCACCAGGGTAAAAATTTATTTCTTGTTGGAATTCTACATTCTAGAGTAGACAATGTTTATCTGTCATGACAAGAGAAGGATCTCAGAGCGTAGAATAGTTTTAAAATTTACTATTTGAATGTCGAACCAAAGATCCCGGGTTCGACTCCCATCCAGGCGGATGACTGAAGTCTGCGTTGTGTGTTAACGTGCCCCTTCCCTTGTTCATAGACGCAGGTTATGTCAAGTGGAAAACACTCCGTCCCTCGGATAGGACGTTAAATGGAGGCCCCGTGTACAGGAGAGTCGCCACCCTTGCACGTTAAGAACCCATTGCACTATTCGTATAAGAGAAGGGGGAAACCCCGGTGTAATGGTCCACCTGCACACCCCAATCAGGCCGAGTATACGGCATCTGCAAGAATCTTCAGTATTGAAGGAGGCAGATTATCTTGAAGAAGAAGAAGAAGAAGAAGATCTAAATATAAGAAATATATGTACCCACTTTATTTTTAGGTTAGGTATCTACAAATAGTATTTAGTGTCAATGTAATTAATCAAATATTTTGTTCTTGAATATGTACACTGTACATTATAGAGACTATATTGAACCCTGAAAAAATGAGAGTTGGGGAGAGTTAAGAACAGAAAAAAGAGGAAGAGAAAGAGAGAGAGATATAGCAGAATAGGAAGACATCAAGGGGAATCACGAGATTTGGATCATAATCAAAGTACTAATTTCGATTTTCTTTGTAAACTTGCAGGTACATGCCCTAATAACAGGCCCATTTGACACCCCATACGAAGGTGGTTTCTTTCACTTCTTTGTCAAGTTTCCTCCTGACTACCCTATCAGACCACCAAGGATCAAGTTAATGACTACAGGAGACGGATCTGTCAGATTTAATCCAAACCTCTATAGGAGTGGTAAAGTCTGCCTCAGCATTCTAGGGTGAGTGCTACTACATGCAGTGGCGAATATCTAGAGAGGGACTCAAATTCCAAAATCGGGGAGTGTGGGGGGGGGGGGGGGGGGGGAGGGAGACAAGTTTTAAAAAATGTGCATAAAACACATTTTCAGGTGCCCTTGTAGGTCTAAAATGGCTTTCATGTGGCACAATTAGGATACATGTTTTACCCGTGCCCACCCAAAATCCCAGACTCTGAATCCACCACTCATATGAATTTAACACAAATGTAGGTAGAATAGACTGTTTACATGTACACTGCAAGCTTTGGCATGGCCAGTGCGACATGTCTACACCAACTAATGGGAGTGCTGTAAAACTGATCATGTTTTTCTTAATTATTGTAATCTTTTAAAAGCATTTGTGATCTTATTTGCTTTCATAAGGGTAAATTTTTGATAATGAGCATAACTTCATGACCTGTGATCTACATATTTACATACCATGAAATGACATTAAAGGGAGGATTGATTAGGATAAATATTGGATTTTCCTACTGATGATGAAGACCTTTTTTCTAATTTTTGTTATGAATTACATATAAACAAATGAAAATGGTGTGTATCATGTCTGGGGAGGGGGAAGGAGGAATATTTTGAGATACCCAATATCTATCTCTTCTCACTCTATTTCTTTTTATTGGATACTGTATATGATTGAACACTAATAGGTGTATTGATATTCTCATTCTTATTTTTTCCACCAAATGTTTTTTTTTTCTTCTTTTTCTACTTATGATTCTCTATGTCACGCAGTTATCATAATCTTTATTTCCATTTTCCCCACCCATATATTTTGATGTTGTGTTCATAGAACATGGAGAGGCCCAGCCTGGAGCCCAGCTCAGAGCTTATCGAGTGTGCTCATGTCCATACAGTCGCTCATGAATGAGAAACCATATCACAATGAACCAGGATTTGAACAAGTTAGAGCTTACTTTTTACTTTTATTTACAAATAACATATATGATGTTCTGAAGTACAGATGATCCAGACATCATCATGTAAATTTGTCCATTGTGCACTGTAATAAAATAAGTAGTCTCTGTGTACATATGGTTCATTAACCTACCCTTCATATTTGTACTATTGCAATGCAAAAACACATTAAGTATGTACTTGAGCTGAGTTTGAGTTCAAAGTTTTATTATCCAAACAAAAATTACATCAATATAACAATCAAATGTACATGTTTAACATTGAAAGGATAAATGGGACCAGGAAATAGCATTAAATGCTGATGGGCCATTCCATGGTAACTCGCGTTACACTTAATGGGTACATTGACACGATAATGTGCCTATATCTTTAGAACTGCTAGGATCTACAAGATACTTTTTTCAAACATGGACAGGGAAGATATAGAACAACTGAATGAAACAAAAAAGAAAATTGAAGAACAAACATTTTTAGATTCTTGGATTATTGAATTTCGGTAACTCGCGTTACAAAAAAAGGACATGGTCAATTCTACGAGACCCTCTTTTCTCCTCATACTAGACAATCTTGACAAAATCTTTCCTACTTTAATTTGATAGTAGGTTGTGACTTACTAGTATAAGATCACAATATTAAAGATAAGAAACAATGGACTAGTAAAATGCAGGAAGCAAATATGTCGGTAACTCACGTTACGGTAACTCGCGTTACATTTTGTCCGGAGGCCATTTTCACCCCTATGTAATAGATTAAATATCACAGGACCCCTTAGAATATGGAAATATATTCATCTTTTTCCATTTAGCGAAATTTTCAGGAAAAAATATTACAAGAATCCTGTGTAATCTGCAATAAATGTTTTTTTTTCAGCTACAGTCCCACATGTACGTTTTTGATGATAGTTTGAGATCTTAGGAAATCAACAAAAATGAAAAAAAAATTGTATTGAATTTGGAAGGCCCTAATGTTTTATGAACATCCATGGCATAAGGTTAGTGATAAATCAAAGAATTAACATAAGAGGTACATTTCTTTTTTTGATGTCATGTCCTTCTTCTCATGGAATGGCCCTGATCGTGTCTGGTACCTCTAACACACAAAAGTATCACAACCATGAATGAGAATGTAATGAACCACAATGTCTCCTTGCAAGCATAAAATAAAATGGGAATTACTTAGATGTTAGTGACCCTAGCTGATTCTTGAACTCCTAAGAAGAGAAGCTTATTTATAATTTTCCCATAAATTGATGTGCAACAAAAAAGCAGTATTCTAGAATGTAGAAGGTTAATTTGCCTTCTAACAGCAAGAAAAGAACATTTTGAGTGATTTAATTGCAAATGATTTTAAAAGTAAATTTGCAAATTAGAAAGAAACAAACTGTCCTTTTATTTAGTCCAGCTTTTATGTGTAGTGTATGGCCAGCTAAAAAGATGATAGAATAGAAAAAAATGAATGAATGGGTTTTATCTTGGTGTTCAGTTTTCAAAGTTTTGATTTGTAAGTTTCAATGTTTCAAGAATATGGTGTTCATGTACATTTTACCTTAATTGATCTTTAGTGTGTGCAGAATTTTAGAAAGATGTGATGACTTAAAAAGTATAATTCTGTTTGTTTGTTTGTTTTATTAGGAGCGCCATCCTGGTGATTGTCAGAGATATAATGATTGCATCCGTCATGAAACTGTGAGGGTAGCAGTATGTGATATGATTGAACATCCCAGTAAACACATACCTGCAGAACTACAGTAAGAACTTTCAGATGTCTTTTGTCAATCATTCCCTTTTCTTTCATTCCAACAAAGCATTATTAGGTTGGAAGCCCTGTTCTATTAAGAATTGTGCCCTTTAGAGTGGTAAAAACTAACCATTTTAGTGGAAATTTTTTTTCCACCTGTTATAATATGTTTTTTTCTCTCTTAGAGAATGAAACTTTTTTAGCAAGGCAGGAACTTCCAGAGAACCAGAGCAAGTACCGGTACGCTCGACATAGTAGTAGTAATACTATGTTGCAACTTGGTACATGTTTTTTATAAATGTGACAATGATTGACATGTTTACGCTTTAAGGGTTTATTGTCCCAATGAGGATTAGGTCTGCAAAGTGAAGCCATTGAAACTTAAGACTACCGGTAGGCTTGAGTTTTCTTGAAGTTTGTACATGTACCTACACTGTAGAAGATTCTTAGGTATATAATAAGCATATTTTGTCACTGAGCAAAAATCTCTATAATGCTCCAATGACACTGATAGAAAATAGCTTTTGATCCAATTTTCCTGTATTTATTTTTTGGGGTATTAATTGTTTCATTACACACTAATTCGAATCACTTTCTTGTTTTCTCTCATTTCTCTCTATTTCTTGCCAGGCAAGTAAACAGAACATCATTCCCTGATTTTTATGATTACTATATCACCACTGTACAGGATAGGATGCATCTAACAGGCCAGCCAATGCAGGTAGATATGTTAACCTTTTATGAAATAAATACATGTCTTTGGTTTCAAAAATATATGTCAGCACATTTATAGACAAGCCCTATTCTTTTCTCTACCAAAAAATAAAGAAAATAATTTATGTCATGGAAGTACAGTGGGCATTAGGAAGAATGTATTTACAAGTTTTCATAATAAAAATGATTACACACTATTTCCATCCTACCAAACTTATAAATCATCATCACCATCATCATCTCCAATTCACAACTGAACGTTTGCCTTGACTTATTCAATACTTTCTTTCAGGATCCGTTTGGTGAGAAGAGAGGGAAGTTTGACTACGCTACCCTCCTTAAGACACTTAAAGCCATCAAAGTGAAGCTGGATGAAGCCTCACAAATGGAAGTATCTTCAGACTCAGAAAGCAGTGGAGGTTCAGACCTAGACACCAAGCTATCTGGCCCGGATACAAGCAGTTGATACTTAGTCAAGACAGCTAGGCTTCTATCTGGCCAACAGGTACTAGCTCCATACACATGTGACATGCTAAACCTCCTCAAAACACTGTCACACAAAAAATGAAAAACATTTTATTTGGACAGGATTGGCAAGTTTTATATATGATTACACCTATTTGTGTGCTATACAGTTGGGTGTTTCACAAAGGTCCTAAGTTGAACTTATCTCTAAGTTGGACTTAACAATTATGGAAAGCTGTTAGCATCTATGAAAATATTTTATAAAAGTGATTGTAAATGGCATAAAATGTTGATACAAATTATTCATATTTTCTGTTTATCAAGGAGATTTCATGTTCTTGATGTGGAATTTATAAAAAGTCTAAAAAACTTCAATTTTCACTTTTGAAAATATTTTAATTTAAGGCTACAAATGGCTCTATTTTACTTCGGATCTTTGTGAAACACCCCCCAGAAATACTAAGTGCATTAAACTTGTGTCATTTTGTTTTCACTGCAGTTTATTATAGTCTATTTACCATGGCACATGAGAACTAGGTCTTAACCGATATAATACCAATGTATATGGATTAATCTTCGAAGAAACAAGCCAATGCCCATGTAGTGTAGAGAGCTACATGATTAAAGTGGAAAGGTGGCCAGAATTTCTTCCTATGTTCTTGAAAAAATTGCATCATGATATGATTTCAGCAGGGAAAAGCTGTGTTTTGTACACAGGTGTTATCTTATTTGTTGACATCACTTGCCAAATCCACTTTTCTAGCTTTCATTGATGAGGAGGTTTTGTTAGAATGAGCAGATTTGATCTGTATCCCAATCTTTGTTGCAAAAATGAAGAATGGTCATCTCTTTGATTTATGATTGAATAAAGCTAGAAGTATTTGAAGAAAAAAAATATTTTCTTAATTTTTCTTCTTTGTTTTGTTTTTTCTTCAAAGAAGAGGTAATATATTGAAAGTATTGAGAACTGATTGTGTTTGGACTCAGAATGATTGTAGTATTTCAGGTGTGTTTCAATAGAGTAAAGAACGTTAATTTAATAGATATTGACGGTTACTAGGTATTATTTTTAACTCAAATTGGCAGTCTCCTGAATAAGTGTATATGGAATAAAGAACTTATTCCAAGTCACACATACACACTTATACAGTTAACAACTAACTTATTTACACCCCTTGTAAATCTGATGTTTGTTGTGTCTTCCGTAACTCAAGGATGAAAGATGGACTTTTTGAACTAGCTTGGGCCTTTGTTGAATACTTGCGGAAGTAAGCTTCAGTATATCACATCCTCAAGAAACATAAATCGGGACAAATCAATATTTCACATACCTGTACTTAAAAAACTAAAAAGCTTGGTAAGGGTTTTAATAACTTAATTGTTAGCTGTATATGGGCTTAGGGAGTCTCATCTTTCATACCACAAAACTTTACCAGGCATTGGATTTAGAGGGATAGTATATGCCTACTAGCAGAAAACATTTCACATCAATATGTAAGAAATTAACCAGAGTTAAAGTTTTGACACACTTGGGCAGTGTTTCACGAAACTGTCATAATTAAAAGTTTGCTGACATCCCATTGAAATGCGTCACTTAAAAATAGCACACATTTCAATGGGATGTCAGTCAAAGTTATGTAAGTTTCATGAAACGATACCCTGTTTCTTATTCCTAGTTACATCATGGAAGCAATTACAGAGAGACAGAGGTGAATCACATTTATTGATAAATTTTATCTGCAACAATGTCTGTTTAATACATTATTATCATTTTACTTATTTTTTATTACTTTTACATGGTACACTGTTTCTTTTTGTTTAACTTATTTCATGCATGTTTGTTAATTTATGTTTATGCTTTAGAGGATACAGATAATTCCAATTTATATGAAAGGCCAAGGAGTGATTTTTAGATCATTTCATCAAATTTTCATCAACTATTTCTCATGAGAAATTTTATTTTTATGTTTATGTCTATATTTATTGTTTCAGATCAGGAAGTTATTCCTAACCAAAGTAACTGTATTTCTCAAGTTACAAAGAATTCTTGGCTTAGCTATTTTATTTATGATTTAAACATCCTTTCCAATAAAAAAATTGAATACGCAAAATCAATATGTTGGGCTTTACAGTACTTCTAATTTATATTGTCTATCATTATTTGCGCCATAGTCAGTATGCATTAATTCCTGAGCAAATGATTTAACTTTCAGCTGCATCCTCTTAATTTGCTGGTTGTCTGAAGAAATCAAATGACAAGTTTATGTGATCAAATTACAACAGATAATTCACAAAGGCTCATTAGTTATTACTGCAGCAGGACTGGTGCAGGTACAAAGTTTATTTCTTTTCATCATTATAGTCATATGTTTAATTATATTTGTACAATACTTTCATGCTTGGTCTTATAAAGAGCCTGCATGTTTTTGGTTTTAGGATCATTATAGTTTTTCACCTTTTTTTTCTTAATGTTCAGCTGATTAGCAATCTGTATATTTCACATTTTATATTTGTGTACAAAGATTGCATTTTGAGATAAATATCACTAATATTGTAATGAAACACTGTCTACCCTTGTATCCCTATTTTTCCTTGAAATCAGAATTTAGTAGCTGATATTAGAGGACATCCACATTGTGTACTTAATGTGTAATTCAGTAAGGTTGTATATTGTAAGAGTTTTAGTTTTTATGAATTAACATTATTTTCACATGTGCTACCAAAACAACTTCTCTTGTTGTGTCTTACAACATTTGTATTCTTTGTATTTTATGAGTTAAAGTTAAGGTTTAGAAGGAAAAAAAAGTAACTCAATAGACACTTCATGGATTGTTTTATTCCTTCATCTTAATTCCACAGAATTTGGAAAATTAAGTTACAAGATCTCCATCTCCCTCCCCCTCTCTCTCTCTCTCTCTCCCTATCTCTCTCTCCCCTCTCTCTCTCTCTCTACCCCCCCCCCTCTCTCTCTCTCCCCCTCTCTCTCTCTTTCATTACCTACCTCGATATCTCTCTTTTTAGTGCAAAAGTTGCCAAGTCTGATGTCAATATATGGACAGATCATTTTCTCTTTGATGATTTTTGTTATTGTTGAATACCTTCCATTGATTTTTTTTAATTAGATAAAATGGAAAGTACATGTTATTGCTTTAGTGATAATGTAGGGTAACTTGTAGACTTCAAATGTGATCAGCATCTCTGAAGTAGCTACTGTATATAACAAATATTAATTTTCATAGTCTGTCTTTATCGCTAAGATTATTTTTTGCTGAATTTTATATAATGTTTTCTTTTGCATGCAAAGTAAATATTCATCTTCACTTGTAATAATGGTATAATGCCATTTACTTTCTCATGTATCCAATCAAATTTTAGTTTGTTTGCTTTTTATGGAAAAAAGAAATAGATAAATGTATATGCTGTAAATTGCAAAAATGTACCAAAAATACATAAAGATAGAATAAAGAATCAATTCTTCGACAATTACCTTGTCCGAAACTTGTAGTCTATTTGCCTTTGTTTAATTTTGAAAAGAAAAATATATACTATCATACTTTATATGCATCCCATCACAAATAGACAAGTGTATTGTACTAACTGGTCCTTAATATTTGAAAAAAATGATATTGACTGGCCCATTGTTGTTGATGATTTGGGTCTACAGTGTACATCGCCCTTTATATATTTTTAATTTCTCTGCCTACATTTTGAACAAGAGTTTGTCTTGATGACATGTAGATATGAATACGAGGGGAATCAAATCGAGAGAAACGTGCATAAATTGAAATACATTAGTAAAAGGCGAGCTCACCGGCATTTCATTGAAACGTGTTAAATTTAATACATGCCTTTCAATGGGTTATATTGTGGAACGCTGCCCAGGTCTATTTCGTCTCATTATCCCCACATATCCAACCTATCTTTTAAAGAATATTCTGTTGTAAAATGAATGACATAAGACACAATGTAATTAGGAGACACCTGACAAACAGATTTTATTCAGTCAGCAAATAACATATCACACAAAAATAGAATTTACCAATAGACGTCAACTGATGTTGCCGATGACATACATGAATAGTTGTATCTTTATTTGTGTTCTAGGACTTTAAAATAATTAAGATAATGAAATAATGTGTGGCTGTGACTGAACAAATAAAGAAAATCTAGATACCCATTTGCAATATTGGCATTGCATCTGCATAGAGGAAATAAAAGAGAATTTCTGTAACTTTATTTAAATGCAACTGGAAGTATGCACAAAAATTACATCGGAATAGAATTGTACCTTCATCTTTAAAAAAAAATTAAAGCAGAGATAATTCTTTTTTCCTTAATCCATACAAATGTATTGTCTGCTTAGAGCCAGAAGGGGGCTAACACTTTGTAAAAGGATGTCAAATGAGTTGATACCCTTCTGGCTCTGAACAGATGGTTTGTGAATGAGTGGCATAAATGGTAATTACTACCCCACCTCCCTCCAATATGACCATAGGCACTACCCTTAACATTGCAGGATAATGTGTTTCATCCAGAAACTTTTTAACCTGTATGGCCCGTATTATGGCTGGTTTCTGGCAACACCATGTGAACAACATATATCTGATCTCTGCTCCTGATATGAAGGGAATAGTTATTATTCCACCTAACATAAATAGAGATTTACAACTGGTCTGTGTTCAACAGAGCCTTTACTCTTATAGTTTCTCCTTTTTTTTCTTTTTCTATACTTTTTTTAATAGTCACACATTTACAAAATGCTTACACTATTTACAAATATATTTATAATATGTAAATTCTCTTCATTATTGACATAGATGTACAAATTTTACACAAAATATATCAAGATAGAATTCTTTGAATTGTAAGAAAAGTAAATATGAAGTGAAGAAGTGACTTTCCTTCCATCTAACAGTAATCTGGCTGAAAATGCTGCAATAACCCCCCCCCCCCCCTTTCTGAAAGGCTAAAATTATGATAACAGCCATACACCCTGAAAAATAGAGAATACGTGTTTGAATACTGCTATGGAAAATAGAATTTGACAGCAAAGAATTCTTTCTACAATTATGTACATTTATAGGAACAGAAAATCAAGGTGCATTAGTTGTATTAACATACATGTTCCTACACTTTACTTTTGATTGCACACAAAGTTTGTTTGGTGGACAACATTTAGATCAAATATATAAAGTAGAGTTCAAGATGCTAATAAGCTAAAAAAAATTTAGAACTGACATGTCAATGGTAATTCCATACTTGATAGAGTTGAAACAATCATTAAAACATTCTTTTTCACATTCATAAGTGAACAAAATGAATGTGCATAAAACAGAGATGCTCATAAGATATTTTTCATTTACATCTCAAGGTACCTCAAAGCTACCTTTGTAATAAATACACACAAAACACATGAATAAATTCACCTACGTAATGAACCTTTGGCTTGATTAACTTAAACTATCCCATTTCGTTTCAGTTCTTACATATATATGTCACATTTTATATACTGTTATGAAACTCCAGATATGTACTAACATTTTGCTCATTTTCAATGCACTCAAATTCTGTACATACTACTAGAACACATACTGATCTTGATGAGTTTAAAGCTGACATGAGACTTGTTTAACATGGCAACCTCTACGTATGCATAGATTCCTCTCATACATAACATATCATACAAAACAGGTGAATTGAATGACATGTCACCACAATTTTTCTGGGACAAAACACCATCAAATTGAAATGCATTAATAGTAAATGGGTTTCTCTCAGAAAAAATGTAAAGAAAGAGCAAGAAACTGAAGCATCATATTCACAAAAGCTCTACTGCAAACCAGAAACTTTCATGACCCAAAGGATGGCAATTTTCACAGCAAGATAATTCAACATATTGTAATCATGTAGTGTTAAATATGTCAATAATGAATCAATCATTTCACAGCATGAAACTTTCTGAATTTTGAACCACTGAGAAATTTGTAAATATTCCATGCACATGAAAGTTTCTGGTTTAATGGTATTTCAACCAATCAACCAACAATGTTCCTCTCTTCATATGAGCTGCTCTAGGAGATCACTGAATGAATCTAATTCACTGGCAGTGGCTGTTGAGAATCTAGAGTTGAGAAGATGCACATCCAAAGAACCCATCTCATCAGTGATAATCTGGAAGAAAAGACAAAGAATAATGGGCCCACTAAATCAACCTTTAACAATGATGAAAATCACATTGAACTATTCTACTTTTACAATGAATCAGTGATGATTATCACATGAATTTGGACTACATGTATGTTTTTAATTAACCTGTTATTACTGAATGAACTACAATACTGAGAATCCAGTCTGCATACATTACTTGTTGCTATGTCAGCAAGGCTTGGGCAAGCTTTCATATTCTCAAGAACAATTTTTTTAAATAAGTATGCATACAAATTTGAATATGTTAGAAGACCGGTCTATTGTCTAACAGAATGAACTTGGTTGTAAGACTGGTAGACATATTTCAAACAGGACCACCATATTAATAAAGTCAATGTAATCTTCTCTAGCTTTCTGTAGAGTAAAGAGTATTATTAGGGCGAATTAGGTGGTAATATACAGTCTAACTCTCATAAGATAGCTACTTACCATTTCTGGTTTCCTGCCTGCTACACCCCACCCTGTAGCCGCATGATCGTTGGCTAGAGCAAGAGCTGATAATCTGGAATAGAAATAGTATAAAGGCATATTAATAGTACTCTCATGATGTGTAGATTATATGGTATGTCTTTCACATCAATATTCAAACGATTACAGTTGTTTGATAGAGGGTGAATTGAGTACGTGAGTAAAATTGACACAATGGCAATATTGATAATAATACATAAATGTAACATTTTGCTAAAGTAATCTGAAGCCGACAAAGCAAGTGAAATATTCATGTAAATGGGAACCAGCCATGTGTATGCAGTACATGTATTTTATTCCCTTCAAATTTCCTTCACCCAAATTTCATTTTGATACAATAATTTAGTACCAAATAGAAACAGGCTTACATCTTGAAGAATTTGCAACACCCCTCACACGTTGTATATTATGAAGAATGAATATAAGGACAGCTTGGATGATGTATCACATAATCACGTTTAAATATGTCATTGTAACTACATTTCTTTCTAACCTCTTAATATGTAGTTTTCATCTGGTTGCAAGACAAATTAACCACTTTTTTTGTTTCAATTCAAACACACAAAGAAGCACCTTCAGAAACATGCAGTCTTCAACTTTCTTCTATTACAACCATATATTAAGTTCTTCTGCAGTTATTGAGTCCGAGGAAATCTGAATTACAATATTCAACAAATCCATGTACTACAAACATAAATCATATCTTTATCTTCTACTTTACCTTCCACGTGTGAACTGCTCTGTCTTGACAGGGCCAGAATCATTCTCCAATAGTTCCCAGACATACACCTTAGATGTGATGTCCATCACATAGAAGACCGATGGTCTAGATCTGGACCATGATATGGCTACTATGGCCATTCCTTGGGTGGAGTTGGGCCAACTCACAAGTGGGGTACCTAGTAAACATAATCAAAGGATGGAATTATGAACAGCACAAAAAAATCTTACTCATTCTCAAATGCTTAATTAAGGAACCATGTAGTTCTAATAAGTAATTGGCTAATTATCCTTTATTTCTGAATGAATCTTTGATAATATAACTCAATAAACAGAGGAGATTATCAATGAAAATCATTAGCAATTATAGTTTCAAAGGTGGATTTCCTTCTAAATTGACCTTCAAATTTGAATAGAATACATGTTTTTTGATGTCTTCCAGAATGAAAGTCGTCAGTATTAAAGGAAAAAAGTGCACAATGATAATTTTCAAATCTTTTCTTGTGACATCATACTATTTGATAAATATTCAATATTATTCAGGTTTTCAAGTTTATGGTAATTTATTTCACACTTTCCATATTTTATTGTTCATGTGGCCTTGTGGATGTATTGATTTTAATGACAAAAAGCTGTAATTTATTACTATAAATACACATGAAATAAAACGTGAAATACAAAATAAAATACAATTGTAATATACTTACCTCTCTCTATACTAAAGAGTTGTACACTTCCATCTCCACTGGCAGCCTTGGGGTGAAAATATGAAAGGTATAATGACTCAGCTATAATCAACGACTCATAAATGCAATATGTGGAATTTCCATTGCAACTCTCAAATTTTTCCATAGAAATTGTGTATTTTCAAAGCAAATGGTTGTTTGCTTCAAACTATCTGGTGCCTATATTTCCCCTCTCTTTCCCTTCCCCTATATAACTAATATGAGATGTGAGACAGTATGCTTTAATAGTTGCTTCTTGCATTTCTTGTTAATTCATTAGTGTTGAATCTAATTCACATCTGATCAATACCTTTCCCTTTATACATGTACCTAAATAACTCATCCAAGTCATGTTTCAATTCAAAATACACAGGCATATCGAAGACCATACTGAACACCAATGTTTTTTATATGTTCAAGTAATCTTCAAATCTCCTATTAAACAGGCAGAACTACATAACACAAAATCTTGGCGAGTTCAGAAATCACAAATAACTGGTCAGCGTAGAGATGAATGCAATCATGGATATATTGGTTTAACTCAACTTACCAAAAAGCAAGGGAGATCGAATGGTGAGAAATCTATGCACTTGACTCCAACTGGTACACCTGAAAAAATGAAGTCCAGAACACTAATTTGAATATCAAAGTAGTATAAACACAACACTGCAAGGGCAAGACATACCCAAAAACATAGATGAAAGTTCCCAAACGAGGGAGTGTATGCTATTTGACTGAATCATAATACTATATACTAGGTGTTGCCATTGCTGTACTTGTTATAAACTACCCATGCATAAATCTGTTTCCTTAAAGTGTACCAATCACCAAAACATCTTTTGCTTTTGATGTAAGGGTTATATGTTGCTATAATGTCTTCAAAATATGAGCTTGGAATATTACATCTACAAAGATACATGGCAGTTTAAAGCAAGTGCCAGTAATATAAAAAAGACTTGGAACCCAAGTTGGACTTAAGTTTTGTGCATGAGGTTTGATATATTATCCTTAAGTTGTTTATATTTTAGTTAATTTGATACATTTTAGCTATACACAAAATTACTTATGCACGTGATTGGTACACTTCAACAATATAATGCAAAATTCCAGACAAACACTAACCCAAATCTTCTGAACTCATTCACTACTCAGTATTATTCTTCCATTGACAGAATCTTTGATATCATTTAGAATTTGATGAAAACAAAGGTTTTATCCTTACCATCATTAACCCAAAAGTACTTGGGAGAAACCCTCTCTGTATTTCGTGCTCCATGTGAGATGAAACCCTGCACATGAAAAGTATCAATAGTATAATAAAACATGATTTTACTAACATGTACATGTATGTGACTTATCTATTCAAACAATATAATATCAGCACAAACAAATTATAGGTTAGATATCATCAATAGAGTTTGCCAAGAGTTTACTTTTGATCAATTACACTTATGTGCCTGGGTACCATGAGGCATGTACAAACAGGGAACCTCCTATTCTCTACTCAATGTAGGGTATTGTATGTATGAAAACATGTCCGAGTCAGTGATCACCAGTCATAAATCAAAGCAGGAGTGCATATAAATGGTTTGGGTAATCCCAAATTCATGAATGAGAGTATACATACCAAAGGATGAGTGCACCTCATCTCCATGGTTCCTAATATTACATACCACAATTTCCATATCATAGACTTAAATGTATCTCGATCTGGATTATCTCCATTATCTATACATATCTATTTACCCAATTGGGAATTCAAATATCATACTTATCTAACTCTATGTAAACTACAAGCAGATAATTTTATTTACATGTATGTATAATTGAACATAAAAATGTATGATATGTATATATATTGGTGGTACGTGTACTTACTGCATCTGTTGCAACAAAGAAGTGATTTGGGTTGGATGGTAGGAGCTGCATATCAGTCACCTTGAGCTGGTAGATAGACCCAAGCTCCCTACAATAAACAATATATATATATATATATATCTTTATAGTCTGTGACCCCGAAAACAAATACATGTATGATTTGAAAATGTCATTGTTGACATGAACTAAAGAGACAGAACAAGCAGCGATTTTGGTGTGTGAGCATATATCAAACTTGTTCTCAGAATCTCAGAGAAGCCGAGATTATTCACTCATTACTCTTTACACTTCATAAGACTTTGAATAGACACTAATTATGTTTTTCAAAGATATCTTATATGAATCAATCATACTATTAATTGGCCATTCCTGCCATTTCATTCCCTTTTCCCATTTACAATGCAATCTCTTTCAGTGTAAATCTACATAAAAGGTATTCCTAAAAAGCAAGCTTTGCTTGACTGGGACTCTTGATTTCTTTTAAAATTACTTTACCAAGTTTTTTAATGTAGATACCGGTATATGAAATACGGGAGGGTCAATCCATCTGAATAGGTACAGAGTACTTTTCTAGCTTACCTGAGAGGGATCTGAAGCTGTATTGATGAACTTTTGATGAGTTTGATTCTACCACCAGGTACCAAACCTGTCAAGATAGTACAGATATATACAATCAAAGCTGCAAATCATTTACATCTTATGTCACCCCTGTGTTCTGCTTACTACAGATTTCACATCACTCCTATTCCATGTTATACCCAGTCAATCAGACAATACGGACAACAGACTAACAAAAGTTATACTGCTCCAACTGGCCAAAGTTATGTAGGTTATTGATCAGTTTGGAGTTGGTCTGGCTGTGGTATTACTTGACTTGCATTCATGTAGAAGATGGAACATTAGAATAAGAGTGTATTCTGGAGTAAAAAAATTATCTGCCACAGTATATATAATCAATGAAATGTGATATGGATAATTTTTCTCAACAGTTATTTGGTTTGTTATCATACAGGGAAATATACTTACCAAGATCAGATTCTGAACCAGCATCATCAGGCTTATCAATCTCTATGACAACCTACAATTAAAGACATGATAAATACATAAATTGACACAACAATCCAAACAGGGGGTTGCTGAAATTGAATATGAAATATGTATGCTAGACAAATCATAGAGTGTATGAAGTATTGACTATGAGTCCTAACTATTCTGATATGAGAACAAGGTACACCATGAATGGTGCAGTCCTTCATAATCAAAATGCTTCAAATTTACTTGCAACAAATACAATCTAAAAGGGTGAAATATAATCTATATGGCACTCATATCGACCATATGTTTTATATGCATATCTGAAGAAATAATATACAATCTTGTAGAAAGAAAGAAAACAGAAAACTAAATAATATTTAAACATACCCAAAAGCTGATGGTTCCTTTCTCATCTACTGTTGCAAGCTGAAAGGAAAATCCTACCGAGTCATCTACAAAAGAAAGAAAACAGAAAAGTACACTTTAATTGGTACTGCTATTCAGATTAATTTAAGATTTACAAAATTACATCTTCTTTGCTATGATCACTTCTGATTTATTTCCAGTCTTCACATTTCGACAATACACACTGTACTTACATGATATATATACATCCCACAGGTAATTAATAATTGTCCTGTATCATGAACAAAGACCGATCAAAGTAGGTACCAGATTTATCACCTAGCTGCATTCTACAAAGTCTTTGAATATGTATTAGAGAATACAGGTATCGTACTTTACATATACCAGGATACAGAAACAAATAATAGGAGGGTCCATGAATGCAAATGACTTTCAATCCCTTCATTGTCTCATACAATAATGGCTGCTACTAAAAAAAGAGGTAATATATACATGCATAGCCCTATATGATACAATTTTAATCTTGAAATGGGTGATTTCTGTTCATTATTTCCAGTAGACTGATTTAACCATTTATTTTACCCATCCTGAACACTGATTAATGGTCCTCTCTTAAATTAAAACATGTCATGTGGAACACATTTTAGAATTCTAGAATTGCCACATCACTTTTATATGCAAGGATGAACATGTCAGCAACTTTTCACTTCATTCTGCTTTTAACTTACCACCAAAGTTGGACTTGGATGTGGCCTTCTGCGCATCATCTGCACTGACGATGGGTTGCATAGCAACCACTCTACTATGATGGCTCTCATCCGGGCTACCAGCCTCTGTACTGTAGGTTGGTACTCTGACCATGATATGGCCCCAACCAAACTCACACTTGAGATGCATGCTGGAGGGTTCTCTCAGGTCCCACACACATACTGAGCCATCAGCCTAGCCAGCCGGGTAGAATAAAGACACATTCAAAAGAAGTAGTTCAGTAATGGAACATACTAGCAAACATGTTTCATAATTTAATTTCACAACACACTTATCTCTCAAATGCCATTCACATACATAGCTATTATCCTGGACAAATACATATCCATTGTAAATGCTTATTGAATTGGGTGTGTAGACCTATTTGCTTCAAAATATAACAACACACACAATATTTCTAGATCTCAGATCCCACACACTTACCAAACCATTAGCCTATAAGGATAAGACATCAACAATATTTATAGCATTATGACATACAGGTATATCTTAATCAGTGATTAGTGGGAAATGGGCATTGCAGGCATTATGGATGTAAAATGTCATTCTCTAATCAGCTGATTTAGGTGTAAAATACTCAAAAGATGTGAGAAAATAGGGAAATATCATAGCAGAAAAGAAAACTTACTGTTCCACAGAAAGCCATTGTTGCCTTGGATGGACTGAAGGCGCATGTTGTAGGCATGGATTTCAACACCAGAATCCTTACAAGAGAACAAATGTTACCCAAGATAATAGTATATACCACACTATGATTATCATTACTTAGATATCATAAAACATATGCTCCTAAAATCAGAGGTAAACTGAACCAGACCATGGAATAAACCATGCTTGATAAATTACAAAATTACAGAAGTACAGAGGAACTTTAAAGGTACTATGTCCCTTTTGCAGCCAACCTCAAATGCTGTAGAACTTTGCAGGAATTATGAATATGTCATGTATGTCCTATCGGTGAAATTTAAACGTTAGCAGTGTCCTCATATTCAAATTATGCAAGGAAACCCGTTTACTTGCTAGACTTCACTGTCAGACACTATTGAGGGACTGACAGGCTTTTTTTTCTTCTTTGATAATAACATACATGAAAAGAGTTGTAAAGGGTACATGAGCATTTGTCTACATCAATAACCCACTTCTTGTGATGGCCAAGATTAAACTGATTGAATCTTTATGCAGCATAAAACGTATGACCATTCGATACAATTGTCTGAAAATCAAGACTATTACTTTTGGGCTCTATAGCCCTAAAGTCGATTTGACAACTAATAGTCGTTATTTTCCCACTTGAAGACATTTTCAAGCCCCACCTTTTTTAGAGAAGTTCTAAATTAGTATTATCTTTCAAATGCAGTTGGAATTTAACTTTTTCATTTTTTGGCCTGCAAATGGGACATAGCACCTTTAAGGGAAACAGAAATAAAACATGTAAGCTCAGGAATGCTAAAAAACAGGTCTGGTAAAAAAAAAACAATCAAACAGATATTTACATCAAAATTACTGAAAGGAAAACTTTTATAGCTCCTCCTCCAAGAAGAACTATAAATAAATGACAAAACATGTAATTTTCATTGAATTACCAGTATTGCAGCAGAGACCAACTTCACAGTTTCCTTATATTCTCTTACCACAAAATTCAATAAATTTAGTAATAATAACAGGAATTCCTAATGTCCCCAATGTGACATTGGACTGTACTTGTTATCAATGAATGGTCGATGGGGGAGGGGTCAATGGGGAGGGGTCAATGGGGGAGGGGTCAATGGGGGGAGGTCTCAATGGGGGAGGGTCAATGGGGGGATGGGTCAATGGGGGAGGGGTCAATGGGGGGGGGTCAATGGGGGGGAGGGGTCTCAATGGGGGAGGGGTCAAAGGGGGAGAGGGTTCAATGGGGAGGGGTCAATGGGGAGGGGTCAATGGGGGGAGGGGTAAAAGGGGGAGGGGTGATGAATACTTACTTCTGTGGTCTTGAAGGCTCATTAACATTCCAAACACACATCAGCCCTCTGTTGGTCAAGCCTGCTTTCTCCATCACTTTCTACAAGAAGAGAAATACAAAGAAAAATTGATAATACATGCTTCGGTGTAAAGCAGTATCAATATAGATTATAGGGAACATCTACCCATCATTCATAGCTCTCTGAATCCTACTACTTGTGGAGCTCTGTCTTGAACTTGCAAATCCATCAGCCAATGTTTATGGAAGGCACTTCTGCTGTATATGCCCATGCATACCTTTGAGATTAATAATAATAATATTTAATTTGTATATAGCGCTCAATACAAATGTCTCTAAGCGCTTTACAAATATATTGTCACCATTGACAAACTATTGAAAAAAAATTGTCATTGATTGCCTTTGACTGCTGCATGCATGGACATTCTTCAATACTGGTCATGAGGACGATCCATGATTAGACTCTGATCAAGAATTATCAAAAAATGACAGCATTTTTATATATCAGAACTCAACAATCATGCACAAAGGCAAAACAAGCAATTATGCCAACACATATATATATATATATATATACACACAAATGTATATACCAAATAACTTGTGTGGTGGTAGCTTAAGACCAAGTGCGTTGCAAAAGGATAATGTTTTTAATACAGCTCATGCTTGCCAGTTAAAGATATTAGCCAAATTTGTTGGAATAATTATGTCACATTTTTCAAAAAAGCCCAGGGTAGATGGTAATACTGTAAATGACAGCTTACAAGTAAGCAATGTTGTTAGGCACACTGCAGGGTAGCGGTAGGAGAGTGAATTGCCCAGTTCGCCTTGATTTGTAAATATGCAATTTATTTGTTCATATTATCACATGTTTATCATTGCTTATCACATGTTTATCATTGTTCATATTATCACATGTGTGTCTTTGTTATACTATTTTTATATTGATAACATGTTGTAAATATGTGTGTACTCTCATACCGAGAGGGGGTCGATAGAGTCAATAAAATGTTACAAATCTTACATAAATTAGAAATGGGCATTTCAGTCACTTTTATTTCAAATTTCAGTATCAAGACATACCTTAATACTAGTTATTATACATACTAGCCTCTTTTCCCAGTGAATAAAATAATTGATCCCCTTTAGTTTGTCGTGCATTAGTTAGCATGCTTTTTCTCCTTACAGTACAACACTCAACCTGATGGAGAATCATCATTACAATATCAAAATAATCAAAATAGCGTGAATTTAATGTGACGCGAGTATTGCACATAATTTGTTATTGGGCCATGTGACATCACACTGCTTATCAGTTAGTGATTTGCAGACTTGCTTTAGTAAAATGCTAAGATATGATTAGAATACTAACTTAACCTACATACTAAATTGAATACAACCCCATGCAGTATAATATGTAAAATGTGTTGCTAGTATATATTGCCTTTAAACACCAATTTACATCTAAAACTGAAATCATCTAAAATTCATGCTCTCTGATGCACTAAGAGACAGTGTTAATATGGATGAAATGATGAGTTGCAATTGACTATGAAATCTATGAAGTTACACAACATGCTGTACTAATTCAGCATATCAGACTAATAGAATTTTTTCCTTCACATTCTATGTGTATGCTGTCGCAGGTCAGCAACTCTACCACTAGGTCATCACTGGTCCATGGCAAAGTCACAATGAACTGGAAACAAATAGGTCTCCTGATTATGATTTTTAAATATTTCCTAATACCCATACAAAGTACACATGTATAATTTGTAAAATGATTTTCCCCACAAACACCATTTAGGCACTTTTTCAAAACAGTTAGTATTATAATTAGATACCGCATGACCCATTCACATAAGTTGTGTACTATATTCCATCATTCCCATTCTCCCTTTAATAATTCAACCAACAAAAATGTCAAAATTAGCAGCGGCCAGGTTATTTCTATCAATAATTGTATCTATTAATGATTAGTACATAAAACCTTAAGTTTGTGTTCAATACATAAACAAAGGAGTAACTATCACTCACCAAGTCTTTGTCATCAATGTTCATAACATCCTGTGCAACACAGCATACACAACGTGCGGGGTAGAAGGATGTTAATCACACAGTAGTTGATACCAAGTAAATATTTTAAGAGTACATAGTACCAGTTTTGATGGGTAAAAGGGAAAGATACAGTTTGTGGTTAGTACATCAGAGCATTTGTGAAGGTTGGTTAAATATGAAAGACAAAGATTAAAATGTAAAACACAAACAGAAAATAATATATGGGAGATATCAGGAAAAATTCATTATTCAGAAGGAAACCGAAACGAAAAATAGATAATTAATGAAAATATTGTTGAGAAGGCATGCAAAAGAATAGTCCAAATCCCAATAATCATAACCGATGAAGAAAAAACATGTATATTTAGATAAGTATGTAAAATAAGATTAATATTTTAAAGAATATACAATCATCAGGATAGATGAGTATAAAAGAGAAGTTTGATGGGACAAACAAAACAAACAGAGAAATATATTATTGACACATGAACAATTCATTCAAATGTACAAAAACAAACAAACAAAAATTTGGAACTCATAGATATTCATAGTATTGGAGATGGATTAAAATGAAAAAGGTTTGTCCCATTATATATCAGTGATATTGACAAGTTATTTCTCATCTAATTGGACATACAGTATATCAGACATATATATCAATATATATATATATATATATATATATATATATATATATCAATATACATAAATATCTAAACAATTAAAAAACAATCTATTTCATGTGGATTTAGGGTACTGTAATCACATACAAGCTAGGCCACACCACACAGTGCAATCAATAATCATATTTTAAAAAGGAAATCCAAATAAAACACAATTAGACTTTTGAAATATCAAATTCACTTTGCATTCGGGCATGCCTTTTATTTTGCAACTGCAAGAAAATGTGCCATGCAATATATGGCAGGTGATTAGATGGGAATTGATATTAATTTCTACTGAGCACACGTCTCTAAAAATTATTCGTGCAGGTTCGTGAACACTGTGTTTTTCAGGACAATTGCTACTATAAAGATAAAGTTAAGTACTAGTCATGTGATTGCATTATGAAATGAATATAGATGTTATTAAATTGGGATATTGAAGAACAGTGTGAATAAATATTGTGAGGTTTTGGAATCATCTAAATTGTAATCTTTTGACTTTATAACCTTGTCAAAGACCCAAAACATTGAAATAGAATGCATAATAATAATAATATTTAATTTATATATAGCCCTTCATACAAATGTCTCTAAGCGCTTTACAAATATACTATTACCCCGGTCATTGGATTCAGTGCTTGCCCGCACACAATGTGTGCACAATCTCCACTCCCTGGGGAGCATTCCAGCCAGGCGTTACACATGCGGCATCAAATTTTTTCCAAAGTTTCTATCTATTTTGCGGTATATTTGGAATATTTCAGGAGCAATTCTTTTTTTTTCACAAAGAGAGAGAAAGTTCAACCATTATTGTTCACCTATACTCAAGCTTCTCTACACTACTCCTAGCTAGTGTAGGATAAAGACAGACATGTGTAAATAGATAACTTACTGCTTTAGGCATGGAATGCATGGTGATGATGAGATTGGTCTGAACGGGATGAATCACTACTCTGTTGATAGAACGCCCTGTAAAGAACAACAATTAAAGTAGGCATTTATTTAATATCAAGAGATTCATCATGATACATTTACAATTGGAAATTGAAAGTTGCTGAACAAGTTCCGGTATGGTTTGGAAAGCTGTGATGATAATTCATAACTGCTGTGACTTTGGAGCAAACAGATCATATGCACTGATGAAAGTAATTTTTCACGTATTAATTGTCTGCTAACACTACTTTGAATAACACAAATCTATTCTATGTGACTATCTGACATTGATTTTATAGTAATGGTTTATTTATTCAAAGAGAGAGAGAGAGAGAGAGAGAGAGAGAGGTAAGTAAAATAAAGAAGAAAGGGAGCTAGTAGGTGGTCAGCACCATACGACAATAAGTACCGTAATACACTCGTAGGCAAATGTGGCAATTAGGTAAATTAGAAGCAAGTTTGACACAGTAAGTTTGACACAGTAAGTTTGACACAGTATATCCGCAATACTTGTTGTTGGGATGTATTTTATCAAACACATGTGCAATTTAATAAAAATGTGTATATTATAATTTTAAATTCCTCAAGCTATTAATACAGTCACCATCATTGCATCTCTGAAACGAGTGCAGCCCTGGTATAATCACAGGTCTGGAGTCTCACTGTGTACAAATCAATTACACATGTACAGTATCAGCTGAAACATACATGTCAGCCTAGTCAGTGCAAATAACTAATATCATATATTTGATGTTATATAACTTTATGTCTTTACATAAAAAGAGAACATGTATCAATACAAGCATTGTAAGCTAAACGAAACTGACTAAAGCACTCCTAACATAATTTCTTTATATATCGTCAGGAAAAAACAAAAACTGCATAACTTGTACAAATCTAATTCACCTTGTAGTATAGGAGTACCAGTATTCATGAGTGTGTAGCCATCACTGAAAACTATACTCCTCTTATTGCTCTCAAGTTTGCCTCCTACTCTATTGGCCAACTCCTCATCTAACAGAACAATGAAGAGCTGTGAGAAATGACACAAGACAAACAAATCAACAGCAACAAAAGATAAATAAATGAATAAATAAATACAGGTCATTGTCATATTTCAATTACTTATCCCTTCAATTTGGCATAATTGAGAATAGAACTCCTTTCTGATTAATATATATCTTCTAACATTTTAAAAGCATTTACCAGTACTATAAAATTGTATATTACATGTATCATCATATATAATATGAACTTGCAAAAAGAAAAAACAAACAAATATAAGATGAACTTTGTAGGCCTTACACAAAATTATTAGAATACCTGAGTACATCTAAAGAGAAAAGGAAATCCATTCACAACAATTTCAGGCTACATTCATGAGTGAATGAATCAGAGTATTTAAAATCATGGCAAAATTTTTTTTCAGACAAAGCAATACATTTAATACAAATGGAGAGCTTTAATTCATGTTGGAGAGCTTTTTGAAATGAAATAATAAGACGTATATGATGCTAATATGTAATGCAAAAAAAGGTGATGTTTTCAAAGTCACTCAAAAAGAGATCAAACTTGTCATAATTTTACCTGGGTGGCTTTCTCCATAAAGCGATTGTAGCGTAATGAGTTCATCTCTCTCTCTACTGGAAGTTCATCATCCTCTTCTTTGGAATTGCTCCCTATCAAAGATTACAATAGTGCTTTACCATTACCTTACAAATCTTATGACATTAATAAAACAAAAAGGAAAAGCAAATGAAAATACTGTATCAGGTCATGTCCACATAATGTTCTCAAAAGATTATTTGATGTGTTTCACCAATCACACTCTGATATATATATATATATTTCATAGAGTACATGTATATGCTGTGGCCCCAAAAGATGCAACAGCTGAGATCTGTAATTTCAACGACCTCATAGACAATGGGTTATTGTTTTTTTTTGTATTATTGTGTAGACAATTATTTTCCTAGTAAAATGACACCAAGAACATAAATTTTGATTAATTGGTTCCGAGGCTATATTTTGTAAGGCAATGTTGTTCCCAAAATGTGCTGCTCTTAACCGTAACCATGCCAGATGCTTCCCATAGAATCACAATGTTGCGTAATGAATGTTCCTATTTTATTCATGTTTGTTTTCAAAGTGAGAGCTGTCATGCATTTGTCAACACAGCTGATTGTATAGGAAAATTTCATGCTGCTTCAAGCATGACTACAGTTGCTCTGGGATCAATATGCTTGACTTCACCCCTGGTTGGACCAAATATTATAAACAAACCTAACCCAAAACTTACAACTAATCTAAAACCAAATTGGAACTAACCTTATATCTGTGAGGAAATGAAGCCTGGGCATATTTTTTTCAGAACCATCTTCTAATATGTCTTGAAATATTTGAATAACTCAAGTCTCCTCTCAATCATCTACTACTCTTTTGATCCATATATGCAGACTGTGACTTAGTGTTGTGAGGTCACCCACTGCCCCCTTCCCCCTTCCCCCTCTCCCTCCCCCAGGCAGCTGCAATACTTTAGATGACTATATCAATCAACTTACCTCCAGTAGCTGCAGCACCATCCTGAGGGTGTTGTGTCCATCTTTCACTTGTATCAATCTCTTCAGTTTGCACATCACGATCCAGGTTGTCATCATTGCACTGTACAAAAGCCTGAGGGATGAAGTTCAATACACATTATCAATTCTCTTAACCTTTGTAATGTTACAATTTGTAACTTTGACAAATTGTTTCGTATAATATTATAAGATGTAAGATGTACATGTATATTCCTCTAGCTTATCTTAGCCCTAATTACCATTAAACTTTAAAATAACGATACTCATAACCTACAGGAATGCAAATACAAATGTATAGAAGGACAAAACTTGTAACAGAGACATAAGCTTTCAATGATGGACCTTTGGATGACTATACACACAAAGTTCCATCATCTCACGTTTTATATTTCCATGTTAGGTACAGATAATTGTCAATATAGTAAAAATGTCAAACCAATATGTTTTAATACCTGTTTGGTGTTTGAGCGACCAAAGCTTGCAATGTAGCGATCGTACTCCCTAACAGGGGGCATATCAAAGAGGTCAAAGCCTGTGGTGTCAAGGTCAATGAGGTTCATGAGTTCTTGACCTCTCTTCTTGGTTCTCTGAGAGACCTGGTCACTGATCTGACGTTGCTTGGCTGCCACAAAGTTAATGAAGGTACGCCCTGTACGAGACGTGCTTGGTCTGGTGCTTGCTGTAGGAAAATCAGAAGTAGAAATTGTAATTTAGTCCTACTCACAATATATTAGTACATAGTGTTGACTTACCTTATCATTCTGATGTGTGTTTTATTTGTTTATGAAGATTATTGGATTGAGTTTATTGCTCATCCATTAGATATTAGCAGACTATTTTTTTTAAATAAAGTACTTGAAAAGTATTTATAAAGTATTTGAAATCAACTTCAATATACTGTAAAGCCAGACAATTCTGTGTAGCAAAAACTACTGTTATTACTTTTTCTGAGACTTTCAGCATTGTATATTTTCTTTTAATCATGTGTTATATTCTACAAACATAATCATTTAAAGTGGAAAACAGCTGTCATTACAATCATGATGAATAGACTCATCATGCCTCTAAATCCCAGTTTGTGTGTTTATACACATAAGCATGTATCTGCACATTCAAATATTAAGTGCTGTCTATATTTAATATTTCTATTATTTCTAACATAAGAGTAAGGATATAACCACATGAAACTTACCACTTGATTGTTGTGATCTTGAGTCACGCTAGAAGAGGAAAATGCAACCATACATCACAGTTATATTGTATGATACAATGATTTTTAAAAAAAATAATCATTTGGCATATAGACTTCAGATAACTATTCTTACAGTAAAGATCAAAACTGCATATCAACCCCTCCCCCCCCCCCACACACACACATTCTATCTCTATCTCTCTCTCTCTCTCTATCTCTCTCTCTCTCTCTCTCTCCAGTTAAATGTGAAATGACCAGCCTATTTTAGGAATGATAATTAGGCACTCAATTGATGCTCAATTTTCCTGTCTTCATCCTTTATCCCTTTTAGCTCAACATAGAACAGACATTAAAAATAAGAATAATAAAAGATATACGACACTGATTGATGTTATCATATACTTTGTGGAGTACTTTGTGGTGTTCCATAGAGCTAATATAGCTCATGAAAATTAATCTTTACATCATAACCTATTGATTATGAGCATTAAATCTAGTTTCATATCAAGTACACACTTATAAGACAATAAATTCAATGGTAGCATCATGTATCCGGCAGCTTTACATGCATAAATCATCACAGTATATACATTGCATACAGTGATTTAAATACAAGAACTGCTACTTTTTCTTCCTTAAAAAAACAAGGGTAGATCTCTGGAGTTCTTTAACTGTGGCCAATAAGCTGTACATAGACAAATGTGACAATTTACTTTGCCAAAACTGAACTGAAACCTTGTTGGTATAGATCAGCTTATTCCTTACGACATTGGTGGTAGCCTTTCATCACTAAAAGCTACAACTATATCACTATTTATGCCATTTGTTTATCACAGATTTGAATACTTACAGATTCTGCACTTCTTCTTAAAGCCTCATTCTCAGCAGCCATTGCTCTCCTTAGGTTATCTATCTCACTTGCCATCTGAGAAAGAAAAGGAAGACACACATACACACACAAGTTAAGAGAAAATGAGGTATAAAGTTAGCAATGTAAAACTAAACTGCTTAACTGAAATTGAACAAAATCAATGAGTGACTTTGATTTAAAAAAAAATGAAAATGAGGTAGTCAAAGTCAACAACAACCAACCTAATAAAGCAAATGAAATAAATTGCTAAGATTTAAATACAAAGCAGTCAACCCAAATGACAAGTAGTATTATTTGTTAATGTATTTCATTTTTAATCTGAAAGTCTGACTATAAATATGTATCATGTACCTACGCTCTGACCCTGTCACCCCAGTGGCAGGGTTAGAGCGTAGGAGAGTAGCATATAGCTGTTAGCTAGCGCTCCTTGCATATATTTATTTAACAATTCATTGAAAATCATGGATAAAATAGCAAATTATCTTTTGATACAATGAGAACAAGAAGAAACTATATTTAATGTTTGTTTCCAATTTCCTCTTTGCTACCAAAACTGTACATGAGCTTTAATCTAGAGCATATTTTTCACCTCTCATCCACTTAATGTAGGCTTGAATGCTTACAGTAATAAGTATAAATTTCAAGGTTTAAGATTTGTTGATCTATACGGGCATTATATAGAATCAGACCATGACAAAGGGACAACTATTAGTGAATGACTTACAACAGGATCTTTGTCCCCTTCTTCATCTTCATCATCATCGTCTTCAAAGTCATCATCATAATCCTGGAAGAACAAAGATACAAGCTTATATATCAACTGATCTACATAATTAGTCTTACATTCCTTTATGATTACTAATACAAGTTACATACGATATCTTATTAAATATAGTGTCATACTACTAACAAGCATTTATGTTTTCTTTATAGCAGTCAGGTAAAATAACCACCACCACCACAATCATCTTTCAGCATTTTGCTTAACGGTCAAGTGGATGAACTATTCCCCCCCCCCCCCCTACCCCATTTCATGATTATCACTTCTAATATTGAAATCCGGTACATCAATTTTTAGAAATACAATCAACCTTCTAATTCTTTTTGATCATGGATTTGCATGCATTTATATTGCAATTAAGAAGAACACAGTAGAATCTATTTCTGTACACTTACTTCAAAGTCATCTTCATAGCCGTCATCCTGATTAGATTCTTCCATTTGTTGCTCCTTCTGGTCAGATACTTTAAGAATCTCCTCTCCTACATCATCCTACATTTTAAAAAATTAGTACCATTATACATATTGGTATCAATTACCTACGCAAAATGTGGGCACAGTACAGTGCCCAAATCTGAAGGGAAATGGGAAATAGTCTTTGCCAGCTTCATATAAAACATCTACCAAAATAACATAACTGTACCAAATCCAACAAATCAGTGATCCAAATTTTCAAACTGATTTCTATTTTTTAGTCATTATTTAGTTTTCATATGAAAGAAAAGTGAAATAAATGATAAAAAGTCAACATGAAAACATAAATTGAAACTGAAATTGAAAGTTTTGAAAATGAAACACGCAAGCAGTGATGTGTATATTTCATGCAATTTTATAAGAAATGTTGATTCTTATTCCTAAAGATTCAATATGTTACCTCATCTTCACGCTTCTTCTCATGTCTCTCATCTTGGCCATTCTTGTGTTCTGATTTGCTTCTACCTTTCTCCTCTTTATGTTCCTTCCGATGCTTGCGTTCTCCACTCTTCTCCCTCTTCCTCCTATCAGCTGAGCCATCCTTGTCTCTATGTTTCCTTCTCTCACGGTCACTATCATTACTTTCCTTCTCTTTTCTCCGCTCTCTGTCTTTGTCTCTGTGTCTTTTCTCCTCCCTTCTTTTATCTCTGTCTCCCTGTTGAAAACAAGATATTGAATGTGAGATGATGTATCTTATAAAGATTATTTGTTGTTGCTACATCACTTAATTTTTTTCAGATGAGGAAGCAGCAGCTAGAGCAAAAGAGAAAGGCTAAAATAATTTTGAAATCACCTCTATTATATGCTAAATCTTGGAATTGTGTGTAATTATCAATATTTTGTTTCCAAAGTTTCAGGACAAATGTGATTTCAATTTGAAATTATTATGTACTTTTACAAATTATGATGTCTGTTTATGAATGATCCTATTTTATGTCAATTTTGTTTCTATTGTAAACATCGTAAAAAATACACTGTATATTTCAATATCCTTACTAAAACAAAATCTTTGAAAACAAGAATGTCTTGAAACTTGATTCATTGCAGTTTATAGTAATCATTGTACTGTTTGGAAGAAGAAAAAAAAAAATCATAATTTTATCAGATTTCTACCGTTCTTGCTTTAATACTAAGGTAACTCATTGTGCTATCAACCTACGTCTTTGGTGCTTGATTTATCCCCATCTCTACTGCCACTTTCTTTCTCTCGTTCTCTCTTTTTCTCATCTCTATCTCTGTGTCTCTCCTTCTTTCCAGAGTCTGTCCTCTCTGCACTCTCCTTGTTATCTGAAAAAACAAAGGATTCAGAACTAAATGAATTTATCATAATAACATGTAAATATAGACATTTCTCAGCCTCAAAATTTACAACACTCAATCACTTCTGTCCACAATTGGCACAACATTACATGACATTACATGAATTCAAAATAATTATTTTGTGATATCTTAAATTTGATTGTATTTTCATGTTGATAACCTACATCTCCTTAAAGGGATCGTTTAACAATGTTAAATCTGAGATACACGGTCCTACGTGTTATCAGTGTTTGTGATATGGTGTAATATCGAAGCCCTAAAAAAATTGTGCTTCAAAATGATCAAGAAGTGCCTCAAAAGAGTAAAAAATCTTTGAGTGACCGGTTTTACCATACTCGTTTTCCCCAATAGACTGTAGGTTTATGAAAACCGTCAGGCGAACGTTTTTCAAAATTTGTAATTTCAATCATAAATATGTTGATAATCAGACCGGCGATCGGCTTGTAAAAGTCATGGGGTTCCTGACTGACCTAAAGGTTTATAATTATCATTGCATCATGAGCAAAATCCAGGATTTTATTTCAGAATCTGAGACAAAGTTACCGGATCCCTTTAATTTGTTTTCTAAGGCTTAATTTATAACACTGTGAATGTAGAAATCATAATTGTCTACCAAATTTACCAAAAAAGAAAGGCATCAAGTTGCTTTCTCAACCGAAATCATTTCTAAATTCTCAACAATCAGGAGAAAGTTTGATTGAATCTGTAATTTAAGTTTCTGTCTTTATCAAAACTCAAGATTACATTTAAAGATTTTTTTATCTCAACTTCTAATAGTATTTTACGTAATACACTCTTTCTCTTACCACGATGTGATCTTTCCTTTTTCTCCCTATCTCGATCCTTTTCCTTCTCCCTATGCTTGCTTCTGTCCTTTTCCCCTCTGTCTTTCTCCTTTGAAGATTCTTTTTCACGTTCCTTCCTCCCATCTCTGTCCTTTTCCCTTCTGTCTTTATCTTTTGACGAATCCTTTTCTCGATCCTTTCTTCTTTCTCTATCTTTCTCCTTAGAGGATTCCCCTTCACGATCCTTTCTCCTTTCTCTGTCCTTATCTTTCTCTTTTTGCCTATCTCTGTCTTTGTCTCTTTTACGTTCATGTTCTTTATCTCGATGACTGTCCTTATCCCTATCTTTATCTCTGTGTCTCTCTCTATCTTTATCCCTAGGCTTCTCTCTTTCTTTGTCACGGTCTTTATCTTTGTGTCTGCTTTTTCCGGATGACCGAGCCTCCTGTTACAAATGAAAAATATTGGAAAGAAAACAGAAAACATTAATATATCAATATCAATCACTAAAGATAATTGCCGAGTAATCATTTTTTCTGATTTTTTTCATAATACACCAATTAAATATACACTGTTCATATCATAATAAAGAGATAATAAACATACTTTCAAGGCCAAATACACTTTTGGCAAGAATTAGAACAATAAGAATGCACAAGATGCTGATGTTCCTATCAGGAAAAGGCTTTCAGACAAAGTTCCTGACAATTGTTTCTCTTAAAGTCTACTGTATAACAATTGAAAAAGGAACACACAAAAATAGACCAAAAGATCCCTTTGTATCACAGAGATCTCCATCACCAATTACCTGCCAGCTGCTAATAACTCCACTTCGGGAAGATTAGACTTTGAGATATAAAACTGTGAAACTTGACTGTACTATCTCTTAATGTAAATCAAAGAAACCAAATGAAATATTTTTGGGTTCACCCCACCTAGGTATTAATACCTCAGTGTTAACTGAGATTGTTTCATAATATTTGTAGGATGTCTTTAAATAATACCTTGATAGATTCTGTCAATTCCTTGGCTCCCCAGGTGTCTTCTTTACTCTACAATATGAACAAAATAAAAACATAAATGAAAATATAGGAAACCATGTCATTGAAAGTTAATTTTGCTAAATCTATGCATCTTTATTTTGAGAATAAATTGAAAGTGTCTTAACATCTTTTCCTACACAAAATGTATACTGACGCTTCTTTGAGTGATCAAAGTTCAAACTGTTAAGTCAACTCTAGATAAAGAAAAACCCAGGCCTAGCACTGCTACAATGCATGAATGATAAAGTCTAACCATAAACGGTTTGGATCTCATACTTGCATTAGTACTGAGAACCACAAACTTTTCAAACACATGTGTTCAGCTATAGAAGGCTATATCACTCGTTGCCATTCCTTCAATGTTATAAGATATTGGTGCGAAGAGAAAGCTTGCAATTTTTTGTTTGATCCGATACCCAAATCATTGCATTGGTACCACATAACATAGAAATATCAACATTTCAGTAAAAACTTCCAATTTGTACCTTAAATATGACAGGAAATGAGAATTCTTCAAACTTAAAAAAAAAGTTACGAAGGATCTAAGACTTAAAACTACATGTAAGTGATATAGTCTAGATCTACTTAATCTTTTTAACGACAATAAAAAATTGTAACAAATAGAGGGTTTGACTGAAATATCATAATTTTGGTATTAAAAAAAAAACAGGAAAATCGCAAGCTTGTTCCTCGCCACACATAGGAGCATCACTACCCCGGCTGTGTAGTAAAAGCTGCGCTTTTGATTCTCAACATTTCAAACACCCCTGTAGTCTGTACAAAACTCAACTGATTTCACTCAAAATCGGTACTTTAGTTAGGCACATTCATGGGGCACTAGAGGGCGCTTCACGCCCGTATGAAAATCTGAAGGCCTTGCTGCGGTGGGTCGGCAATAATCAGCCCAAAACTTGGATATGGGAGGGTGGAAGGATATATCTTTTTTATAATGTTATCCGGTCTTACCCCTAACCATCCTATGTTTAATATAAGGAGAAATAACATGCGAGTACAAGAAGAGAAACATCGGGCCATTAGTGATTCAGCTTTTTAAATATTAGCCTAGAAATGACCACCAAACGGAAAAAATTGACATTTTTTTCTGACAAATCTTCATAAAATCCGAGTTATAAACAACTCACAACTAGGTACGGTAATACAAATACGATTTTCTGAAAATTCAGGTGTGATTTTTAAAGTTTATTTCAAGTATATTTCTGCGCATCGCAGCGCCAATTTTCTTCACTGCTTCAAAATCACCCTTGAAACTATTTTTTTGCAACGAATTTGATACAAGGTTCCCGAGTGTTCCCCGTTCCTTGCGTGTTGAAAGTTTGTAATACAAAGTTTGCATTGACTCGCGCACAAAAAAATGGCTCGAAAACAAAATGTCAAATGAAGAAATAAACAAGCTTTTGTATAGTTATAAGAGATCTACCAAGGTTTCTTTGTCGATTTAATTTATTATATAGTATCAATTAGAATTCAGAATTATCTCACTGAAAAGTTAAGAAACCGATGATGTTCTCGATCGTAGTTATTTTCACTTTGCCAGCAGACGATCTAGCGTTGTTTTGGCAAAAAGCTAGCCCGCCACCTTTCCACCTCGAACCTTTCGAGTTCCGCTAAAATTGCGCGCTGTGGAGCTCCGAAGGTGCGTTGGTATCAGTGGCAAACTCTCAGCCGGCTAGCTCCCCACGACGGACCATTCGCGGTATGGCGAGTGTGTGTGTGTGAGGTACGATTTTGGATTCGAGAACACACGTAACGCAACCGTGCGTGTCATTTTCAGCTGTAAAATGTCTAAGGACATTTTTACATGTACGATTTTTAGGACAGATACTTGGTCAGTTTTCTTCTTATATCTTTGGTTGTACAACAATTAAAAATATAATTTCTTCAAATTTGCTCCTGACTCAGTTCAGACTAATTGTCTGATGTGTTCTCAAGTCAATTTTTTGAATATATTTTTTTGCATGAATTTGCCTACTTTAGTGACAATTGATGACACCTAAATAGCAGTAAAATACATTTTGTTCAACTTACTGATGTTAAAAAGGAATAATTTAAAAATTCAAATTGTAAGTCTAGTGTCAAACTTTGCTTACAGCTGCATTGGCATGCTTGTGTGCAGTGTATGCAATATTGTGTGGTGTGTATATTTGTGTATGGGTCTAATAATACCTGCCTCACAGCAGGCATGCAGTGCTAGAGGTCAATATGCATTAGCATTGATTCTCTATGCTTTGCTGGAGTAGTTCCTCGCACAGATCTAGAGTAAAGGAGGGGGTTTTCGGCCACTTAAGACAAAATCCTATTATTTGGACCCTATATTTCCTATTTATTATCATTTCTTGTTCAAATCATGAAGCAAATATTATTATTCTTTAAACAAAAAAAGAATCCCAGAAAAAAAATCACGAATTGCCATGACAATATTCATTTCACTTTTCACTGTGTCGGAGGCAGTTATCGGCCGCATGTACAAAGTCAATAGGAAGTGCGCGCGCCATGCATTTCCGCGCTGATCTATAGCACTAGCTGGTGGAGCAGGTATCCCACGCCGGAGCTCCCCGGAGCTCGCCAGCCGAAAACTAGTACTGCGGTGATCGGAAATTGGAATCTGAATTAGACGGAGATATCATGTGTGCGTTGCGGTGTGCGGCTGCATTGATTTAATACATGCGGTGGGATACTTTTGAGCTTGCGACTAACACAAAATCGGGCTCTAAATCTGAAAAATACTTGAAATAAAGCTCATTTTATGGTACCCATATTTCTTACAGACACGCGTAAGATACTTGATTTTTCAGATTCGGGTAGCGGGACCACCGATTACATCGCTAAAATGTGATAAAGTCTATTTTAGGATATGTTTTCCATTGCAAATGCGGTTCTTCAGTGACTCTGGCATGGTATGGTATGTGTGGGATATGTGATATGCTGTTATGCGATGTATTGTAAAGGGATTTTACCATGCATCAAACGGATTGGCCGAAAACTGGTGATGGTCGATTACCCCCTCCTTTAGAGTAAAGGAGCCGGTTTTCGGCCACTTAAGACAAAATCCTATTTTTTGGACCCTTTACTTCCTATTTATTATCATTGTTTGTTCAAATCATGAAGCAAATATTATTATTATTTAAACAAAACAAGAATCCCAGAAAAAAATCACGAATTGCCATGACAATATTCATTTCAATTTTCACTGTTTCGGAGTCAGTTTTCGGCATAGCGTACCAGTTTTCGGCCGCATGTACAAAGTCAATAGGAAGTGCGCGCGCCATGCGTTTCCGCGCTGATCTATAGCACTAGCTGGTGGAGCAGGTATCCCACGCCGGAGCTCCCCGGAGCTCGCCAGCCGAAAACTAGTACTGCGGTGATCGGAAATTGGAATCTGAATTAGACGGAGATATCATGTGTGCGTTGCGGTGTGCGGCTGCATTGATTTAATACATGCGGTGAGATACTTTTGAGCTTGCGACTAACACAAAATCGGGCTCTAAATCTGAAAAATACTTGAAATAAAGCTCATTTTATGGTACCCATATTTCTTACAGACACGCGTAAGATACTTGATTTTTCAGATTCGGGTAGCGGGACCACCGATTACATCGCTAAAATGTGATAAAGTCTATTTTAGGATATGTTTTCCATTGCAAATGCGGTTCTTCAGTGACTCTGGCATGGTATGGTATGTGTGGGATATGTGGTATGCTGTTATGCGATGTATTTTAAAGGGATTTTACCATGCATCAAACGGATTGGCCGAAAACTGGTGATGGTCGATTACCCCCTCCTTTAGAGTAAAGGAGCCGGTTTTCGGCCACTTAAGACAAAATCCTATTTTTTGGACCCTTTACTTCCTATTTATTATCATTGTTTGTTCAAATCATGAAGCAAATATTATTATTATTTAAACAAAACAAGAATCCCAGAAAAAAATCACGAATTGCCTTGACAATATTCATTTCAATTTTCACTGTTTCGGAGTCAGTTTTCGGCATAGCGTACCAGTTTTCGGCCGCATGTACAAAGTCAATAGGAAGCACGCTCACGCGCCGTGCGTTTCTGCGCTGATCTATAGCACTAGCGGGCGGAGCAGATATCCCACGCCGGAGCTCCCCGGAGCTCGCCAGGCCGAAAACTAGTACTGCGGTGATCGGATATTGGAATCTGAATTAGACAGAGATATCGTGTGTGCGTTGCGGTGTGCGGCTGCATTGATTTAATACATGCGATGAGATACTTTTGAGCTTGAGATTAGCACAAAATCGGGCTCTAAATCTGAAAAATACTTGAAATAAAGCTCATTTTATGGTACCCATATTTCTTACAGACACGCGCAAGACACTCGATTTTTCAGATTCGGGTAGCGGGACCGCCGATTACATCGCTAAAATGTGATATTTTAGGATATAGATATCTAGATCTATATTTCATTGCAAATGTGGTTCCTCAGTGACACTGGCATGGTATGGTATGTGTAGGATATGTGTTATGCTAGTATGCGATGTATTTTTGAGGGATTTTACCTTCATCCAACCAATCGGCCGAAAACTGGAGCTGGCCGATTACCGGCTCCTTTACTCTACGACAAAGCAAAGCATTGAGTGAATGGAAGACACTTAGACAATGATAGCCAATACTAGTTATAGCCTTCATTGTGCATGCGAGAAGGTTAACAAATGTCAGTTTAATTAAAGAATTCCCCATACCAGACGGTTATTTCTTTCTGTCTATCATCAAAAGTAATTTGGGCACCAACCAATCCCATTCATCAAAGTTAACGTATGGGACCATAAGGGAAAAATGATGGGGAGTCGATAGTCCGTACATGTGAACTCACCTTTCCAGGCATTTTACACAATTTAAAAACACCAACAGGTACAAAGTAATATCCTCATCAATCCTATTGTGGACCGTTTCTGAAATGACGTCTGTAAAATCACATAATCTCAGTTAGATGAGTAGTCATTCATTTTGCAAATTTTTCGTGAAAATATGCAGAATTTTGTATACATTAGAAACATGTCCTCGTTCAATTGTTATTACCAATAGATTACAATATGATCCTGTTAAAATTTAATTTTTCACAATTATTTCAATCAACATAATTATTTAATTAATTTAAACTCTTTAAAAATATTTTCATAATTATATTTTTAGCAAATATGATAACTCTTGCTCTTAAAGATTTAATTAAAGCATAAACTCTATCATTCCGGAGCAGTCTCGTCTCCATGAAGTACATGTCGTCCGCGCGCTCAACTAGGGTATGTGATAGTGGAAAGGAAGTCTGTCATATCTATCACATTTCAAAGTAATTTCAACATCGTTCCCCACAAGCCTGAGCGAGGTATCATAGCTTTTAATAGCAAGCTGCCAAGTTTTAAATTCCTATATTTCTTTCAAGAGTCAAAGAGGGATATTTTCGTTGTCTCTTTTATAACAAATTTGTTTCATTCATTTAATACAGTTTTGTTAGGTTTTAACTATAATAAGAGAGAATTTCTTAAGCCTTGACATAGGCGGATCCAAAAAGAGAAAAGAACCCCCCCCCCCTGCTGTAGAAAAAAAAAATACAAATAGATTTTAGCGGTATTTATTACCCCCCCCCCCCCCCCACCTATATTTTTTGTTTTTGCCTTTGTTTTGACTTTCTTGGATCTGAAGGTCTCGTATACTCGACCCCGTATAATTATCTTCTGACAAGACATTAGTACTGAGTTTGAATACTGTTTATTCTTTTTTCTTTTCATGAAATTATTGTGGCAATATGATTTCTTCTTGATAGATAAATTGTGTATCTTCTCAGAACTACATTGATCAATCCTGAAAATAAAGTTCCGAGAAGATATAACCCCCCCCCCCCCCCCCACCCCCCGGTGTAAGCGAGGGAGCAGGGCATTTTTTTTTCTTCTCTCTATGGGGCATTTTGAAGCTCGGATTTTTTTTTAAAAATCGGGCCGTAAATGTCGCAACGATTCAGCCAGCCGCTGAATAAACGGGGGGGGGGGGGTCTCGAAATTTGAACATTTGACCTTTTGCTCCGTTGAGAGGGGTAAGGTCACCTTTTTTAGGTAAGCTATTGGTATAAAAAAAAAACAACACACACACACAAAGGGAGGGGGGTTTGCTCCGGAAAAAAAAACACATAACAAAATGAAAGGGGGGTTAACCCCCATACCCCCCCCCCCCCCCTGCGTACGCGCCTGGCACTGTCCAGTGGAATTTGGTTGTTGTTGCTTAATTTGCTTTTGTTTTTTTCTAAAAGTTTGAAACAATCAAAGGCGCTTATTTATATAATAAATTATTTATTGGGAAGTGGAATTACGAGATCCTCAAACTTTATAAATGTCCATATTTTCGTTTCTTTTTTTTCTCCCCTTTCATTTTTTCTCTTTTGCGCTCTCGCTTTCCCTTATCAAAAGGAGCATATGCCCTTATCGAGGGATTGATTAAAGTTTCTATCGCTCAAGACTCGGGAGTGATGCCGACAATTTAATCCACAGTCTGCCTCTTCACTAGACCACGCGCGCCGGATACATATTACTTTGTATTATAGCGACTTCCTCGGTAAATTGTGCTTATCTTTTTTTGGGGTGGTGAAGTTGCATCGTGGCCGACCGAGAACAGTTTGTGATTTGAAAATTTGCTTTTTAATTAGAGTACATTCAATCACACAGGCAAATCATAGTCTGATATTTATATCCACAATCTTTTTTAAAGGTATGCCGTGTCAGACAAAAAAATATATGTTTAATTTCTGACCCAGCAATAATTCCTATATTGGTACTTTACATCGTCTAGCACTGTCTTGTAAAACACAGGAGAATGTTTGAATTTGTAATACCATTTCGGATGGCGAAACTTAATGCATTTTAAAACACTTCAGATCCTCAATACTGTGTTGTAGCTCTTAGTCTTTTTTTTATATACAATTTTTAAAATTTTGTTTGCATTTAGAAAAATCCCCCTTAAAAAAAACCCACCCCCCCCCCCCTCTCACAGGGATTGCCGCCCATGTACCGTGGATTCGCCCTATATCGCCTCTTACAAGCAAACTTTCATTGTGAATAGGAATAAGAGAGATTGGGTACCGATTAGGCAGATTTGCATAATAATCGTTTCAGAGTGTTTTCTTTTCAATCCCACTTTGGTATTTCTTCGGTATGTTCCAGGCTCGGCGTTCGTTCAATAATTTGAGATGGGGAAGGATACGACAATGACAAAGCTGACGGGGACAATGACTTCCTCCGACAAGACAAAGCCATCTTTCAGAGAGCTCGCGATGACAAGCAAAATCAGAATATATTATATACTACTGGTTAAGATGAGAGTATTATCAATTGAGTCTTATCTCGTTCAGCGGTCATGTTTAAAGAGAAAATTCATTGATTTAAAAAACTAACTTAAATGTCATTATTGCAAAGGTGACACTTTGATTGGCCAAGGTTATCAAAAGCCAATGCTAAGACAACATTCAAAGTAATGATTATTAACAATTACAAAACGCTTAGATACAGCCCCGACATAGCACCTGAAAAGCTCTCCAGTCGCTGCTGAGATATGACGTCACATGTTGAACATGATGTGCACAAGCAGACGATGTCCCATGACATCTCACACAATTTCACTGCCTGTTTTGTCATCTTTTCTTCAGTTATTTCTCTTACTTCAATACCCTCAGGCGACATGTTTAATCTATTGCCTCACTCTAAACCCCGTGCATGGTATTATTTGGATGAAAAATGCAAGGAAAAAAGAAGAAAAAGGAATCTGTCGCTTGTAAACAAAATAGGACGACTGTATTTTCAGCTGCATACACCGCGGCAGGTTCGGCGTTTCAAGAGGGAACAAATGACGTCCATGCTATCATTCCGGAGGTTTTTTAATTTGAAAGTGTGGTTTCTTTGATTGTTCATTAACCCCTATCCTGTGTATTTATAAACAAAAGAATTTAGTTTTCAGAATGGTGTAAAATTCCATCACATTTATATACACTAAACTCATTATAATTTGAGAAATAAAAGCATTGCAATTATGTTCATTCTTTATGGGGTGTCGTCTGCTTGGGCAGGGTTGGTTCATATTGTGACGGCATTAAAACATCGTTATTTTTCCGGCGAATCTCTCGCATATCCCAGATGCTATAGAGGTTGTTTTATTTGTATTTTTATAAATCACCCGATATGTAGTTGAACTAAAACTTGCATGATGGCCATCTGTTAGCTTACCAGTTTCTAGTAATACGCTATTTGCCATATTTGTGATTTTCTATGAACCCGCCCTTTAATAGGAGCGTCTCTCATCATAATCAGGTATTTAACTCCTATTTAACCAACAATCTTCACTGATCTTCCACCTTGTTCTGCACAGTTTTTGGTAAGTGAACACCACCTTCTTTGGTTCTGTCTTAACGACGGGATTTATTTTCTAATAGGCCTATCTACCGAAATATGATATATACCGAGTATGATAATAATTTTGTGGTATGTATACTATTTTTTATACTTGTAAATGGTTCTAGGACACCTACCCCCTGGCCATCTACCCCCGGATAACCACCTATAGTCAACCAACCCCTAGGACAACTACCCCCTAGGACGACTACCCTCGGGACAACTACCCCCGGACAACTACCCCCAAACAACTATCCCCTAGGACAACTACCCCCTATAGGACAACTACCCCGGACAACTACCACCCTGACAACTATACCCCCTATACGACAACCATCCTCTAGAACAACTTTCCCCGGGACAACTATCCTTTAGGAAATAAATAACAAATAAATTAATTAATTAAAGAAGAAAGAAACAGTTGACTGGGCGTGCAGTTCACCTGCAACATAATATGAAGGCAAAGGCCTGACACATCATTCACAAGTCACCATCTCCCGGCCAGGAATAAAATTTACTAAATTCTACTAAGCTTCTTATTTCTAGGGTCTACAGAAGGAAAAAATCCTACCTAAAAGAAGAAAGCCTGCAAATATTTTTTATTTAAATTTCCTAGCGTGCCGTTCACCTATAGTTTAACCCTAAAAAGGCCGGGCTATTTGAGGTCTTAGTACGGCCGGGGGGCATTATTGCCCCCCTTAAGATCTCGGCCGTGAAACGGCCGATCTCCGCGAAAATTTGAACGCATGTCAAGTGAAGTGTATATAGAATAATATGATAATTTCAATTTTTGAAAAAATCCACTCATTTGCATATTTATGGTAATTTATGCAAAGAAGGTCATAAATCACAACTCATAAATTCTTTTCCACCACATATATTCATTAACCATTTGGAATAATAATACGACAAAAAAAAATTGGAAGAGCCAGCTTATTCCTTATATGTTATCTCTTGTTTTGATAATTTCTTATGTTCAGTGTTTTTTTTAAATTATGAATTTTATTGTTTTTGTTGTTTTATTTTATTTCTTACTACAATTCAACTACTTTGACCCCCAAAACAACCACCTAAACTTTAAACAAGACCAAATGACCAATGTTTGATCAATTTCTAGGAAAAATGATATTTCTATATGTTTTGTACAAAAATCACAAAAATTAGCGATTTGGGGGTTGACATGCAAAGACAAAAGGTCACGTGACCTTGTAACTGTATGTCCGATTTTCATTTTTTTTTAAAGATGCGCAAGACTCGAAAGAAAAAAGTCAGCAAGCGGCGGGGCGCCATCCATATGTGTTCCCGAACAATTAGAAAAATCGTGCCTTATTAGGGTTAAGGTAAAGGGCCCGGTATATAATAGTGTAAGCGATTCCTGCCTGGGAGATGGTTGCCGAATGATGAGCCTAACGGACCCTGCCACTGTAGGTGAACGGGTGACTCAGGTTTAGCACATGAAAATAAATGTTATGTTTTTTCCCCGTACATCGTGACTCGTGAGATTATATAAATCTATATTTTATGATTATGTTGTCTTTTGGTTTTATTTCATTCTTTTCATTTGTTTTGTTTGGTACTAGTATAACGCTCGATAAGTCTGGTTAGGAGATAGTGGCCTGTGAATGATGTGCC